TAGTGTCACACTGTATTGTATTCCCCAGATACTGAGATCTTTAAGAGCTTCAAAAGAAGTCGTCAGTTTTTTTTAACATAAAAAATTCTCAGAGACAAAAAAAAAACTTTTTATTTCTCCGACGATTCAGAGAAAGAGCAAGTTTTTGCTCAGTCACCAAAACAGTCGCCGGTATTTTTAACTTCCTCTAACTTTTTTTTTCTTTCTGTACCTGTGTTTAAACTCTGCAAGAGATGCACACACACCTTTATTAGTCAATGTTCTTCTTTTATTGTTTTTCCCGCGGTCGATAATATCAGACGGTGGCCATGGCAGATGTTTACTTCTGCACTGCATTGAATTTTTCCCTAAAACTAATAAGACTTTTCTATATTTAGTCATTGAGTCTGGCAGGATTGTTTGTTTTATCTCTTTGATGATGTGGCGACCTCTTTCTTTTTTCTTCTTCTTTTCTTTTTATAGATCGGAGTCGAGCAGAACTTGAGTCAACGGTTGGCTCCACACAAACAAATGCTGGAGTTTTAGAGGGGTTTTTTTTCCCACCAGAGAATGAAATAACCCAACCAATTTGCATGTGTAATTGAGTGGAAAGAGATCATGCTGGGATTCGTGTGCGTGGAACCGGATTTCAGAGCGAGGCTAATTTTGATTCATTTACAACCTGGGCGTCCATTTTGGAGCCTTGTGTCTCGTTTCGATTACGATGGCCTGTTCTCGGGAAGCTAAATTCTCTTTCAAACTGCCCGAAAACAAATTCCACTGACATCCCGCTATGTTTGGTGGTCTTACGAAGCTTTAGCTGGTTGAAGCATGAGAGTTCGGAGAATGTGCTATTTTTTTTCCACTTTTTCCGGCTACAATGATCGATTAAGAGTTTTGATTCGATTGTAAGATTTAAAAAAACTGCACCAGTGCCCTGTCTTGTGGATCTCTGCCTAATTACAATGAGCATATTTACACGACACTTGAAATAGAAAATAATCGCAGTGCTCTTGAAAAATTAAGACCGGTTTGTTATTGCATGTAAACAGGCCATAAATTGAACGAGGCTAACCGGTTTAGCGCTCTCAGGTTATTATTTCTATGTTTGGCTAAACAGAAACGGCCCCAGTCAAATATGGACGGGATGAACATTATCTTAATTAGATTTTTTTCACTCGAGCCATCCACAGTGGGCCAATCTTGGAAAACCCATCTAAACCTCCGGGGTGGGGGGATGGGGGAGGGGTTCGGACAACTCTTATTCCTTCATTATCTCCCGCCATTTTGAAATGCGGGGTCGCCAGGACAAAAAGTCATTTTCTGTGTGTCCTTTACACACCTAGCTTACCGGAGGGGGGGAAGAAAAAGCAATTCCAGGCTTCAGAGTGATGTCCAGCTGCAGCCCTGGGAAAAAATAAGAAGTAACCGACCGGTCAGCCAATCTCAAGAGAGATACACACTTCACACAGTTCCGTATTGTTTCCATTTTCACTTAAATACAGAATTAAAGGCCAGAAATGATTTTTTAAAGCTAGGATTCGAGAAAATGTAGAGAGAGCTGTGGTTGGTTTTTGTCCCGAGACCCTTTTCTAATTCTTTTCCGGGAATCTGGAAGCCTGGCCGGGGGCTTTAATGATGCAGGCCGATGACAGCCCTCCGAGCACGTGAATGGACGAAGCTTGTAGAGGAACTCGGGTCACCACGGGGTTGAACGGTGCATATTTCATGCTCTCCGGGTGTGCTTGAGGCAACGCGACGTCCATTCCCGCATGTGTCGGCGTCCCGGACAAGCTTTGTCCATTCGCGGACCCGGAGAGCCTTCATGGCGTCCAGTTCCTGGACAAACCACACGGTTACTTTCCTCTTGTTCGCACTCCAATTGGACGTCGGCACCACCAGCTCGAAGCGTTTTAAGGGGTTAAATAGTGTCTTTTTTTGTGACGGATGATGGAGCCGATGTGTGTTTGACGGAGCAGAACTTTCCAGAAGATTCCGAGATTCCGAGTTGACGGCCGTTGGAAACTCCCACCCGGCAAATAGCAGATAAAAACAAGTAGTTTTAGCTTCCCTAAGTCCCATTTATGTGTCACACCCCGGAACAGAGACAGGAAGCACAATGGAACCCCTGTGTTTGGAAAAGGATCTGGTTCTTACTCGGAGGAAATCCGGGCGAGGTAGGAATGTGTCGGAAAACCTTTTTAATCGTGCGGAATCACAACAGAAGAGGAGCCGTAGTTTCTTGTTAGGGAACGTTGGTGAGTTTAGGAGGGGGATTTAAGGCCAGCCTTCCGGTTTGACAACACTGCCACTCGTTGGCCAATGGCGTCCCTGCGCCCTGTGAGAGGAGCCGGGGAAACTTGGAATGCTTTTCCCAGCCTATCCGCTCCATCTTTTGAATTTCCCAAATTCCATCTGCCTGCAAGATAGATTCAGTGCCTTGTATTTTTTTTCCCATGTGGCAGATTAACCAATTTAGATGTTTCTCATTTTCTGTTGATTTTTTTTTTCTTATTTTGGTCATGCTTATTCAAGAATTGAGAATGAAGGAATATTTTTGGTCGTAAGTCTTTGTCTGGGGAAGATTTTGGATTGACTGTGAGCATTGTGTTCATTTTAGAAAATAAATGGATGCTGAGAAGGCAATTTTTCCGATCATAAGTGTGCCCGCACACACAAAAAAAACAGGAAAAAATAACTAAACAACCAAGTTGCATTTCTGATTGCCGAGAAATATCACTGCATAATAACAACATCCATTCTGGTTGTTGCTTACGTATAAATCCAACATATTGAATGGTTTAATGACAGTTTCAGGGGGGTGGCTGCAGCTGCTCAGTGCTTTTAGTTAACTTGGGTCAGACCAAAATAATGTGCAATGGTTAATTTGGATAGAGCTGGATGTCACTTTTTTTTGGGTTGGTTGAGCACATTTCCCACAGTATGCAGGTTGCCAAAGACTAATCTGTTTTTACTGAGAGCTGTAGATGAAGACAAGGGACACAAAGCGCTTTCTACAATGAGATGGAGTCGGCTTTATTCATTGACAGGGAATTGATTAAGTCTCAATATTAACAAGGGTTTGGATTACAAATGTTTGACCCATTTTACAGAGATTGGGAAAACAGTAAGTGAGCACATTGCTAATTTTTTATGTGTAAAGTTTTTCTGGGCTTGTCCCTGATTTACCTAAACCTTGTATGAATAGTCTGTGGGAAGATTTTCTGATTGGGAAATGCAGGAAATAGATAATAATCAAATAATTAATTAAAATTCATTTGATTATTAAATCAAACCAATATGAATCAATCCAAAATTAACACCGTGTTACATATTACATTTATTTTACGCTGAAACGATATAACTGTTTGGTGATGATAAAAAATCTTGTAATTGTGTGGACAATATTTTTAAAAATATTCATACAAAAATGTGTTTTTCTTCTTTTAGTGCAGATTAGATGAAAGTGCTTTCGATGTTTTCATGCTGCAAGCTAATTTAATATTCATAGGAGGTCATAAATCAGTCCAGCCAATGATGACCGACCATAACTGTGCCAAACGATAGGGACATAAGTCAGCCCGCCGCGACATCCGAGGGGATAAAAACTCCCGAAACGCCGGGAGAATTTCCACCTATTTACCCGAAGGCTGACCTGTGAAGGTTTTCAGAAACCGTCGACACACACGCTTTTATTGTTGGCGTTTGTTGTCTGATTGGAATTTGATTGGCAACCGAAGTGTTTCCAAAGCTGAAAAACAACACTGTCTGTCTTTGTTGCTGAAAGTTTTCCATTTCCACCTTTGAATGCGACCATCCAGGGTCCATTGTACAGCTAAACTTAGTCTTCTTTCATTTTCTGGACAGCTTAGTTACATATTTTAACGTTATACAAGAGGTAGATTTGAAAGGACAAAGTGATAAATCGAGAGTATAAACGTTCCATTTCCGGTGGTCGACCCCTCTACTGGCTATTCTAGTTGGCTTTCTTTATGGGTGGTGAAAGAAAGTTTAAAACACACTCACACACGTTGAGCACTTAAGCGTTCTCCCTAATTACAGTCATGGAGAGAATACTGAAAAGCATCTCCTCAGGTACATGAATTTGCTTCATTTTCCGAATGTAATAATAATAATAAACAGCCATAATTCGGCATCAGAGTTCAGTTGTCGACGAGCGTGAGGCTCGTCGGTGTGAGGGGGATTTAACGTTGGAGATTTTAGTCTGGTGGCGGATAGAGAAGAAGACCAGATGGAGGCACAAGAGGCGTGGCTAGATTCGACAAATCGGTAAAAATTGTGATTAAAGGGTCTGACGGTTTAGGCAAACTCTGTATTCAAAGCTAAGCGATGTGTCAGATTAGAGCACAGTGACAAAAATGAACTTTTAATAGCCTTTGGTGATTTGAATTAGCAAATTATGGGAAGCGATAACTGTTTGTAACCAGAATAGCTATAGATAATAATCCCAATAACTACTTGTAATCAGGTCTTCATTGCAAATTCAAAAACTCAGATTGAAATACGACAGGTCTTGGTCCTTTCCTGGACTCTCACTTTCTGTAAATGCCTCCACGGTGATAACAGACTCCACTAAACCCCTCCCGCCTCTCGGGGACTACCTGCGAGCGCGGCCGGTTCATTAGTCCCCATCGATCCTCGCCCATCGGTTGCTTTAAACGGGGCCATAATTGTGATTGGTGGTTTGGCGGGTCTCGCCGCGGCCCCCCCGTGTTTAATGCCCTCGCTTTATGAGCCATTAAACTCTGAATAGATAATCAATACGGTGTCACCGCGGTCCCGGGCAGCACCCCCCCCCCACCGTACGGTTGATGGAAAGTCCGGATAACTCCGGGACTGGGCCGTGAATAAAATGCGAACGCGTTTCGGGTCGATCAATTTTCCACTCCAACCAAGATGCAAAGGGGGGGTGGGGTGGTATGAGCTATTCGCTGACGGAGCAATGAATCCGTCCGGCCTCTGACCGCCTCCCCTCTGACCTCTCGTCCGTTTCCCCCCAGGTGGTTTTGGTGGGCTCCTCCATGAACGAGCGGGACCAGATGCTGTTCATCAGCACGGACGAGGGCTCTTCCTTCCAGCGGCAGTCCGTCGCCTTCACGCCCGACACACTCCTGTTCCACCCCAGGGAGGAAGACAAGCTCTTGGCGTACTGCAAGGACGGCAGGGTGAGTGTACCCCACCCCCGCCCCCATCCCGGGGGATGAAAGCCTGTTAAACACCGGCAAAACATCTGCACTGTCAGTGCGGCCGTGCTTCCAATTTCCGATTTTCACACATGCCAGCAGGTCGTGAAAGCCCGGACAACTCAGAAAACAGATATAGTACATCACTCCGGAAAACAATATGTACTCATATCCACGTGTATAAGCACACAGACCAAGATTTTGTTTGTGGATGCTTCAATCCGAGCAGCAACAAGGCCCTAAAAGAATTAGAAATTTAGCTGATTTGCTTTTTTGTGTATCAGGGCGTAATTCTTTTAAATAGAATCGTCCCCAACCCCAACCGGCCGAGGCAGATGGCCGCCCACACTGAGCCATGGTTCTGCTCGAGGTTTCTGCCTGTTAAAAGGAAGTTTTTCCTTGCCTGTGTCGCCTAGTGCTTGCTCATGGTGGGAATTGTTGGGTTTCTGTAATTAACTTCAGAGTAGGGTCTGACCTGCTCTGTTTGGAAAGCGCTGTGAGACAACTGTTGTTGTGATGTGGCGCTATATAAATAAAATTGAATTGAATTGAATCACTTGTCCTAACCAAGACTTTTAATAGATAAGTTTGATTTACTGATAGACAAAAACTGGCCAAAATGCATTGACGGTGTCGAAAACTATGTATTTCAATAAAGGCGAGGTCCAAAATCTTCTGCTGACTAGATAACCCTCATTATTTGTAATTTACAGTCATCCTGTTGTCTACTTGCTAGTAGTCATTGTTCAAATGCATGACTCGATTTCAGCAAACCCTCAGCTGTCAGACAAGTGGCTTTAAGTTTTACTTTTTTGTCCAGAGGAGTTGGGTTCATAATTACAACTTGGTCTGGTCTTATGCTGCGAAACAAGCCCATATCATCAGCCCACCGCCACTGTGCTTGACAGCTGGTGTGAGGCTATTGTTGCATATGCGCTTTGTTTTTTCAGCATTACCAGAGCTCTTTTCTCTGAGCAAGCATGTCCAAACATAGTCTAACATAGTTCCAGAAGTCATCAGCTTTGTTTCATAACTTTACAAAGCGGATCAATGCATATATGTTCTTTTTTTTAAAGAACAGCCGCTCTTACAGCCCTTCCCAACAAGCCATATTCGTTCAGTCTCTATACAGTCTTCCTTTTTAAAACTTAGATATTTAACAGACTTATCAATAATCGTTCTCTCTTTAGAATGGTTAAGAAATAGCCTTATCGCCAGTTCCAGACCGATGAGCAGAAATAATTGCCTCTCTTAGACCATTGCTGGAGTTTTTCATTTTTATCACGGTTCAATTTCTTTTTCTAATTTACATCTGTCGAACTTCACAGTGCATGATACGGACACAAAACTGTCATTTTCTGTACAAATACTGTCCGCTAAGCCCATCATAACAGCTGTGTCCTATGTTTTTTCAGCTGTGTACAGAGAAAAAGGCATAAAATAGAATAAAAAAACGAGCGAACGGTTTTGAGTGAGAGCGAGCTCCTTATCATTTCTGAGTAGTTAAGCAAGAAATGAAATTACGCTTTGATTTGTTCCATTCGGCCAGGTTTCAGAAAAGGAAAGACGAAATCCATTCAAAGGGGAACTAAAACATTATCCAGCTCAAGGTTCTCGTGAGGAGAATGCAAGTGTTAGCGGAGGTTCTGTCAAGGCAAGTTTCAGATTTCTATCAGGGTCAACCTTCTCACAAATACGCTCTTTCTTATCTCCAAGGATGACTCGTATATGACCATGAGAGAGAAAAATTCGAAGAACAAGCTTTGAGCTATTTTCATAATTTCCTCCTTTTTTTCTTTTTTTTCTACGGCAGGAGAAAGTTTGTACTGAAATCCTTTTCTCTCCTCCAATGCGTTGCCCAGATATCAAGGAGAGCTCATGTGTGGGAATCAATAGACTTTCATTACAGGGGCGGTCAATGACAAAGAGGTTCAGCTAGCACACACGTTAGAAAAGGCTAAAGCGGGACGTGCGCACCTACTCGCACGCACCAGACCCCCAAACCTGCTACGATTAATAATTAACGGAGCTCAATCTTAGCTCGGTGAACCGTGAAATTCAAAAGCACGACCGGGGGAAACTTTTTCTTCTCCAGATTCGGCTGGTTAAAGGTTACAGGTTAGGCATGTAATTATTGCTCAAAAATGCGTGCGCTTTTTTGTCTAATTTTCTCCAAATTGTGTGTCCAGCTGTTGGCTTCAACAGATCTGGGACGCAAGTGGACGTTGCTTCAGGAAAGGGTCACCAAGGGCCGGATTTTCTGGTGAGTTCAACCCTTTTTTTTGTTTGTTTGTTTCTCATTTATTGAGGAATAAAGCTGGTGAAGTGACACATTTCTGCATATGAGACTGATTATACTCATGTTCTAAACTGTCTGTCAATAAAAATAAATGGGAAACACTGCTTTCCAAACTTGTATAGAAACCTTTCAGCGAGCTCACAGGCAAAATCGGGGGCCCTACTGGTTACAGCATCCTGTTATCAGGGAAATGGGGCCTTACTCTGTTTTCAGAAGCAAGAAAAGGTTGATTTACCTATAACATTGCAGGTGATAAAGCACTAAGTGGGATGCAGAATATTGTCCTGGCCAGGCTTGCAAAAGTTACTAAATAATAAAGAAAACAACGAAGAAAGCTTGTACAGTAAACCTTTTGTCTTGTTGTATATATATATATATATATATATATGTATATATATTTGATATTTCCTTGTTAACATGAAGCAGTTTTTTTTCTTTTTGCCAAAATATATCTTTACTATCTTGAATCATCACTGAAATATGCTAAAAAATAGCAAAGACACAATTACTATGTGTTTTTTTTATTGCTCCCAAGGGTCCCTTGTGGTCATGTGACCCTAAACAGCTGTTTGATTGGCTAATTATTATTATGTTTCAGTTTTAGCCATCCTAGACCCCTTTGTCAAATTATAATTTCCGTACCTTCAACAGGTTATGTAACCCCCAAAAAGTTCAAGGGTAAAAAACAAGAATTACCACTTTGTGAAAAAAGCTCAATTCAAGATGAAATAAGAAGAAAAAGTGAACTCCAACTCTGTTCCTTTGGGTAATGGGCAATGTGTTTGAGCCATCTGTTTGGACCCTAATACGCACTTTTTTCTTGGTAGAACTAGCTGACAGTTGAGGGAAACATTTGACATGCGCACACACAAAATGGATCCTTAAATAAAACTAAAATAAGCAAGAATCATCGGCTCAGGTAGTTTCCTGAAAACATAAAATGACCAGGTCTCTTCCCGGGGACTAAAATAAACCGGTCGGGTTGGGTTAGTGAGTGAAATTTGTGCTGAATATTTAAGCAAGTGGTTCTCATTCCAGGGGGAGAAAACGGGCTTTGTGTGCCTACAGTTGCTGTAAATGTTACTGGTCAAAGGGACACGCCTCTGAGATTCACAGAAGCACGGAGGGGAAAGAAGCCCGCCAGACTGAGCCAGTAAATCACACGAAAGACATCGCATTAAAACCGATCTGCCATCGGGGTGGTCTGGCGGGGGTTTGTTTTTTATGAGCCGGGGCTGTAAAGTATGCACTTTGCATCCAAAAACAAACAAAAAAGATAAGAAAAGAGCTCCTTTTTGGCAATCTTCACGGGAAGGCAACTGACAGCCAGAGCAAAATTTGAGGACGAATTTAAAAAAAAAAAGGAAAAAGCACATGTGACCGGAGTCAGAGTCCCTACTCTGCTAAATCAATTTTCGTTCAGTTCTTTTCCAGCGCTTCCCCTTTTCGGCCCTCTCCGTCTGTCTGACTTTCGCTTCCCTGACCAAAGAAAAAGTCAATCCCACACGCTTTGATGGCGGCGAACGTCTACCTGGACTGAAACACTAACGGGCTGACTCGGTGATGTACGGCATATTTGGATATCAAACTTGAAGCTGATTCTTTTATCCGGAACCCAGTTGGCTTTGAGTGCAGCTGGGAAACTCTTCCGCTTTTTTCTTTGTTGGATTTTTCCACTTCTGGACACAATCCTGACATCAAACGGCTCCACAAACAAACTCCATGACCCAGAGTGCACTGCCTGTACTTGTTCTATTGTTTGTTTCTTTGTTTCTTTAAAGATTTCGCTCAATTTTCATACATATCAATTCAAATTTCCCGCGAAATTCTGCAAAGTCAGACTCGGGGAAGTCTTTTAGTTCGCGAGGTAATTAAAGCTTTCGGGTCCAGTCGTTGTACCATCTGTGGTGAATCAGAGGTCAGAGGTCAAATCAAGCAAATGCCCCATCCCTCAAAGTGCTGTCATTAAATTAGAGTCAAGACGTTTCGAAGTTGCTTCAAAATGCTTCGATCTCTCTATACTGCCTGGAAGCAGTGAGTTTTTTTTTTTTTGGAGTGCTCCACTTCTTATTAGTTATTCTTTTGGTTCTGTGTTATAAAGCAGAATGCTGGATGACACATGACCTCGATTGGGGCGTGCGTCGACATAGAACGAGCTGTCCGTTTCCTTGTATTTCCAGAAGCGGGTATGTGGCAGGAGTCAGAGTTTCCGTATCGAGGGAAGTCGTGATGTTTTATTCGCCCACTTCCTCTTCAAAGCAACAGACCAACCATAGAAAGATCTGCTATTAAACTTGTCCAGCCTCCAAACACGGACTTTTCGGCCGTAAATCTGATAACCACGACCCTTTATGACAGCGCGTCCACCCTTTTTACTTGTCTAAGGCATATGAGGTGTCTGGAAGCGATAAGGAGAAATGATGGAGAAGTTCTGAGATGTAATGAGGAGGAATCCGCTTAGAAGAACAACAATTTGACAAACCGATGGATGACTATCGAGTCTTTCACTTTTGACACAATATAACTATATCCCAGCAGTCCACTTCTTCAACAGATTCTCAGACTTAAATCTTTGCTTAAGACCACCTTGTTGCATGGCAACAGCTCCCCCCTTTCTCTTAAAAAATAAAATAAAATCATCAAGACGGGCACCTCTGGTGTTTGTGCCGACTGATTGGCCTTTCAGGCTCCGTTAGCTTAGCATTTGGCCTTCATAGCTAAAAAGGTTCAGACCTGCTTTCGGAAAATTGTAAAGAAAAATGAACTCCTGAATATTAATTTGGTCCATAAAATGTGTGGTCATGTTTTCATGTTTTTCATGTTTTTCATGTTTTTCTCTTTAGCTTGCAGCGCAATTCAACATGAGGTCTCTTTTTTATTTATTTTTTATGCCAAAAAAGTTAGAGTTAGATCATAGTTGCATTTAAAAGATGTGACAAACTATTTTCGTTGCATCTTCCCATCTGGCAATTGTAAATCTATTAATAGAAGCTTTTTCCTCGGGAGGAAGTAAATGTTTAAAGTTTGTAGAAAGCTTCTTATTCCTTATTCCCATCTATACTGCAAATATTCAGAATCAGCTCAATTTATTTATATGGCGTCAAATCCCTAAAAATGTCATCTGTAAGTATTTAAAAGATGCAATCCAGTGAAAACCACCGTTACCAAATCCACAGTGTTGTGGAAATAAATAGGTATTTAATTTTTATCGCATAGAGACAGCTGGGAAAAGGCCCCTGTGCCCCTAATTGGAATAAGCGGGTAAAGAAAATGGACGGATGAGAGGATTTTCGTCCCATAAATGCCACCAAATCCGCCAGACTCCTCCCTTTTTCTCATGGTTACCGACTAATCTCTCTGCCATAATTCCTTCATTAACGCCGAAAAACGTCGGATATCTGTTCGTCTCCGACACGGATCTGGAGGAAAAAGCTGACGTCCCCGAACGAGAAGAGCACAGTCATGAAATGCGAGTTGTTCCTCGTTAAAAAAAAAAAAACGCCACTCATCCGACTCCGCAATCTGTCATTTTTAGGTTGTTACAGACTGTTATTAATCCGTTTGAAAGCAGAACTGTTATACGCATTTGAGATCAGAGAAAAACTCCAATTTGATCAACAAATCTTCAGTTTTTTCTCATGTGCACGTTTACAGAAAACCACTTATCTGGAAGTTTCCAGCCAACAGATCTGGTGGTTCTGGGACAATATCCCTAAATCAGTTTTATTTACCCCGTGTGTAAAACCATGGCATCCTAGCAGGACACTGCACATTAGGGAACTAGCTAAAGAAACCGGAGCTGTAAATAACAAAAGCACACTGGATCAAATAAATGCGAGTATATAGAATCCTTTTATCTTAGGAAAATATGTTTCCGCGTCTCTCTAAGTTATTGGAACGGTCCGAGCCATCAATCAGGAGCACCAGGCCCCCCTTTCGATCTCCCGTCTTTCTCCTTTGCCCCCTCGTCAATCCCTTCATAGCCCTCTAATTGCTTTTAGAGTCATTTTATGGGGAAACTAACGACGGTTTAAATCTCCACTTTATCTTTACTGGGCTGGGGAAAACTCTGCGCGGTTCTAATCAGATAAACAGCTTATTTTACAGCTCACCGAGGGGCCAGAGTATTTCAGTTTGTGTACTTTTCTATGAAAAAAAAACACGGAAAAGAGTGTATAAGGATTTTAAATCATGCACAAACCAAAGCCGCATTCCTAAGTGCACTTCCCATTAAGAGCCGAGCTGTGGATCGGGTATCTAAAAGCAGGGAAAGGATATCTACAGATGTACATTGTGATCTGGGGCCGCGTTTGAGGATATAACTCTTGGGAGAAATAGCTTCCTCTGCGGGGGAAATAAAACCGTCATCTTTCTTTACCGATTGGCCTTCTTTTACCCCCGCAAACTCTCAGAGGAGTTGAACATGTTTTCTTCAGTAATAAGTTTTTTTTCCCATTTGCATTTATGGGAACAAAAAGTTCAAGTCTGGAAGAAAATGCTGTCATACTGTAAGACTACTCGAAAACTTTTAGTTTAATACATAACAGATTTCAGTTTTTTTCTCTTTTTTCCTTTTTGAAATATTTTTATCCACCCTCTTATATTGTGAGATGTAACATGACAGTCCCAACAACAAATCCCTGTGTGAGCCCCGTTGTCATGTTTCATCATCGACTGTCCATAATGAGCCAGAAAATTGAAAATTCTACAGTAAAGTGGATAAATGGAGCTTTGCTCTACGTCCCGATGCACCTCAGGACTTAAAAGAGTCCAATATGCAGACAAGATTCATTTGCATATCACATATTTGTCACACGAGGACCTCGGTACCACAATTCAGTGTGTGTATACACAACATTAAAACCATTTTTTAACAGTAGTGGAGCTTTCTGGTTGTGAATGCCATCACATTATGCTAGCCAGACTTTATGGTAAAGATACACTTTGCGAGAGAAGCTAATTATTGGTCATAAAAGGGCTAAAAATGTTGTGTGTCACTGAAAATTGTGGTAAAAAGCTGCAAAACTAAGTTGTGAACTGCCGTACCTCTTGATTCTTTAAGGGAGCTTCAGGCCCAGGAAAAGTTATCAAGAAATGTCAGAGTACTTTTTTTAAAATTTTGATTTATATTGATAGATTTAGAAACATAAATCAACATAAAATTGAATGAATTGTGTTTTCATATTAAAAATATTTTTAAAAAATCTAATATCAATATAAAAAAAAAGCCACATACAAGGAATCTTGCAAACTACACCTTTAATGCACTAATGTAATCACCTTTAGCCCACCAAACCCTTTTAAAGTTGTTTTTATTGTGACTGTGCTGCTTTAATTTGCATTTAGTCGCACAAAACAGAGTAGAAATGTTTCTGATGAGTGTAACTCTTATGTGTTGCAGGTCTGTGTCCGGCGTGGACGGGGATCCGGATCTGGTCCACATGGAAATGCGAGACACAAGTGGAGGTGCTGCGAGACTCTGTCCTTTTCTTTATCTTTTCCCGATATTTTCTGTCGATATAGTTTAACAGATTTGTGTCCATGACTGGAGAGGAGTTCAGATCTGAAGGACAGGGTCACGCTATTATACTCAAGGACCACCAACTGTAAAACAACGCTGTATGCAATACATTATTCATAAGAAAGAAATGGATTCCTAGTGCATTTTGAACTTCATTTGTGATAGAAAAATACAATAATTCCATGACAAGGCTTTTGTGCAAATCCTTTCACTAACCAAAACAAATCTGAAAATATATACTCATTGCTTAATAAGTTCTAAAAGTGACGTATATCTTAAGTAAATCCTTCATTTGGAATTACATGAATACTAACAATATACAGGAGGAAAGGAAATCTGTTTTTTTTTATCAGTTTAATCCTTGAATTTGAACACTCCAGATCATTTTCGTCATTGGTAGCCGTCTAAAAACGGAGTCAAGGATCTTTATTCTGTTGGATAAAATCATTTTCCTTGTTGTGACAAACCTTTTTTTTTTGGAGTACTCACTAGAGTACTTCTCCCATCCAAGAAGTGTTACTATTTAAATGTAAATGCAGGTAACGTAAGGATGACTAGCTGTTGGTGCTTTTGTGTAAAGGGTTAACAGAGGATTAATGGGTTAAGGATGGGGTGCCTCATGTAATAGCAACAAATTTGTAATATTAGAACAGATAAATGACTAAAATTGTGTGCGAGCTTGTGTGTTAGGCTGCAAATCCCCACGTGGGTTTATCCCCAACTGAGAGTCACCTCCCAAGGGGGGTCTGGCAACCCATAATCTTGCCTCTTTAAATACGTTTGTGGTCAAGTTAGTGTGTGAAGCTAACATGGAGCGTGTCTGAGTGTGTGTGTGTGTGTGAAGCGTGTGTGTTATCAAGGGGGAGACTGACGTGTAGGGAAAGCACAAGTGTTCATGCACACATTCACACATGTTGATAGGAAATATATTGCGTACTGTGTCCCGAACACTGTTAAAATCCATAGGAAAAATTCTTTGATAACATACATTGAGCGCCATGTAATCAGATACACTTTTTTATGTAACTTCTTATTCATTTCCTATTGGTTACGGCTGCACAGGGACGCCAAAAACACGCGTTAACCCGATTCTTTAGTTGGAAACCTGAGAATAAACCAGAATGGATCAAAAATATAAATAATGAAAGAGCCCAGTGCTGATATACTTTGTCTGTGACCAAATAAAATGTCAATTTTTATACTTTTGATCCACTCTGGTTTTATTCTCAGGTTTCCAAATAAAGAATCGGTTAAACACGCGTGTGCTCAACTTTGCGTGATCTATGGGAGTACATGCAGGTGTGCGGGGGGGAGGGGGCACCGGACTGAACACTTAGCCCGGTCTGATCGTTTTTTTTAATGAGTCCTTCGCCATATGCTGCTATGATTAAGTGTCTGGGCTTTTTTTAATAAATCAGCCCTTCCATTTGTCGGTGGAGGAGGCAGACAAAGCAAAAGAAAAGTGTACGTCGGATAAGGGGAAGGGGACCGACTCCGTAATTCGATGAGATGTAGAGATATTTAAATGATCCAGATCACGTGGATGGACGGCTATCTGCGTTAGCGGTGATTTAGAGCCACGCTTGTCTTTCAAATTTTAATGGAGGCCAATTTGAAGGGTGGAATTAGGTTATTTTTGTTCTTAAGTTTGCCATTTTTTCAACCTTTTTTTGTAAAAGTTCATTAATAAACGATAAAGAAAGAGAAAAAAAGATCTTGCTAAAACATTTAAACAGGTTATGCTATATATATATATTATACTATATACTATATTATACTATTATACTATATTATATTATATATATACAAACTCTAACCATAGACATGGAAGTGAACAAAATCCCATAAGATTATCAAATATTTTGAGGAATAAAAAGCTACTGCCAACTTAAAAACAGATAATGATTAAGCGTCCAAATTTTAAAACACCCGATGACACACACATGTCTTGCTGTTTCGATTTCCCAAGAAACAAAATGTAAATCAGTCATTTTAGCCTGTAGTTTGAGTAAAAATGTGTTAAAAGTGTTCAATATGACTTGAAAACCTCGCTCCCTCGTGTCCTCCCAGGTAAGCTTTGGGGAAATCAGTTGGGCAGCTACAGCAGGAAGTCTTTACGCTTAATTTCACACATGAAAAATTTGCCATTCAACCAGCTGCTAGTGCTTTTGTGCAAAGGGTTAATGGGAGCTCTTTCCCTACTATTTTTGTACACCCGAAAGTTGAAAACAGCAGGTTTGAAATGGTTGAAAGGCCAGGAAGAAAGCTGTTTCAAAGGCATTTAAACAAAAAAAAAGCATGGGAATTTGTATTACACAATAACTTATGCCAAAAGTTTCACTTTTTTCCCTTACAGGAACTTAATGTCAAATATCTGTTATCAGCCTCCTTTACTACTTTCCATTTGTATCGGCCCTGGGAAATAAAAATATTGGTTGATGCCTAGCATTAAGTAACACAAACTGTTAAAATGTATGTTCTTAATCTTATGGCTCATTGAACATAAACAAAGAAGCTAAACCGATACCACACACACACACTACCACCAATTTTTGGTATCAGTCATAATAACACTAAAAGCAAATGGCGTTTACCTTTTTTATAAAGATATTTGCGCATCAAAAGATGCAGGCAGGAGGAAGCCGAGTCCCGTGTGTGTGTGTGTGTACGCGTGTGTACGCGTGTGCGTGGGAGCGTTTTCTATATTGCCACTTTGTCCCTTCTCTGAGGAGAATAATGCCTCCGTGTCGCTGATGCAGCTGCTGGTCGAAATTCAATATCGGGGAGGCTTTGCAACAAGCGCTAACATCCCTGTGACCGTCTCTGTGAGGATAATCCCTCACGGCCATTCCGAATAGCTTCACGCCCGCGAGGAAGCTGCCACATCTTATTGAGTTTGGGAAAATTATGTCTCCTCTTTTCTGTTTAGCATAGTTTGTGTCCCATCTTATCCTATCCCTTTTTTGTTTGCTCATATGAAAAAAGGTATAAAAAGAATATGCAGAATTTTTTTTAAAGGTATAGCAAGCAGCTTAATTTTTCTTTTCTGTCTTTTTTTTCCTTGTTTGCATATTTGCAGGATTCCTGTATGTTACCTGTCTCATCCAGAACTGCTCAGACAAGATGGTGACGGCCCAGTTCCTGGGTAAAATCGATCACAACTCGCTGCTGGTGCAGGACGACTACATATTCGTTAAGGTAAAGGTCAGCGCAAAAGGGCAGGCTCCGAGATTTGTGTCGGAGGGGGGGGAAAAAAAGCGTGGACCTGAAGAATGCAAAAATATGTGCTCATATCTTATGTTAAGTTCGTTCGAAACAGTTTAGATTTCAGTGAAGACTTTTTTTGTTTGTTTCTTCATTGTAATTCAGTTCAAACAGCTTTTGCAAGATTTAAAATTGTGACATTTCACATTACAAGAACACATCTAAAGTGTTTGTAAGGTTAAATCAGTGAAAGGTCTATTTAACCAAAGGCCTTTAACATACTGGGTGATCAAATTCATTTTATTTATATGTTATTTGTCATACAAAGGCAGAATAAAGTGTTCAATTTACAAAAAAAATAAAACTCACTCACCTGATCACACTGTTTTTTAACACGCATTGTCATTACACATTTATAACCATTTGAATAGTGAGAATCTGCAGATTCTCTGGATATAAATGCTTTTTTAAAGACTGTAACCTTTTGACCCCACAACCACCACTTTCAAACACAAACACTGATCCTAGTGTCTGTCTCCTTAACTGAAACATCAAAGTAAATTAAAGCTGGAGATAAACATCTGTAGATGAACATCAACGTCCATCAGAACCCCACAGAAGAAGTCCTGGACCTCAGGGATCCCTCGGACAGCAATAATAATTCACATATGACGCGTTGTGTTTGGAGAATAGTGTCTGTTATGCTGAAAAGGCTTAAGATAAAGACGTTAAAAGCCATCTGAGAGTTACTAATTGTGTGGGTCACGTTTGCTCCCAGCAGTCAAAGCCAATATACATATTTATGGAGGTCATCATAAAAGACAATAGTCGATTAAATGAACAAAAAAACTCAGATTGCTGTCAAATTTCACACACTACCGCGCGTAAAACCATTAGTAGTCTTATCCACATTCAACACACTGAATATGTTTTCTCTGGCTTCCGGGCATCGAAGTTCCAGACAGAAAAAGATATATTTTTGAGGATTAAGGAAAAATAAGTATGAAAGTTATGCTTCAAAATTAGTATCCGTGTCATCCTCTTCTGGTTTCAAACCTAAAATACACAAGCGGAGGTCACACATTGATGCAAATTGCCTGCCCGGTCCCGCTACTGACCGTTTATCCCTAGTCTAAAACTGCCGTGGTGTCACAAGAAAGACCGAAAATATTTGTGATGGCGAGGAGTCGTGTCACCTTTAATCTTTTTTTCAGTGTGAACCCGGTAACCATTTATTCTAACGACCCGTCCGATAGAAAGCGAGGCAGAGGAGTGGCTGGACTTTTGCAAATCGGTGCATTTTGTGACCAATCGGGATATTAAAACCACCGTATGACACTTTTCGAACGTGTGTTAGAAGTTATTCAAGTGGAAAACAATACAACAAACACAGATCCTCTGTTTTCCAAAGACAAACAGCGACATTTTAAAGCTCTCTCTTAGATTTTAGTCTGTGCTGGGCCTGAAAAAACATTTCATTTCTGGCTAACTCAGCCTTGATCATCAGCTGATATCAGTCTGCATGTGCACATATGTCCTTCCGCCGATGAAATCGCGCTCCAACACACAACGCTATCTGTTTGAAAAGGAGAAGGGGGGGCTGAAATGTTATTTGAAGGCTGTGTGCAGAATTAATCTGGCCTTCTCTGTAATTGACTCTCCGTGCAGTACAGTACGCTCTGTAGAGGCCAGCCGCCGCATCTCATTTGCAAGCGCTAACGGGAGAATATTTATCAGCTAGCTGGGGCTGTTTGGGTCCCTACAGTGGGATGGATCAATTAGGCCCTGCTTTTGGCGGGTAAACGTGAGAAAATGTGCTTACGCTCGCACCGCTGTTTGGCGAGAATGCCTAAAAAAGACAGACGACACGTGCTGTAAGCCGCTAATGCTAGCGGCTTTAGCAGCTTACCGATGTCAAAAAAGGGTCAGATGTGTGGACATAAAACAGACACTCAGACGCCAAAGACGTGGTGGCACATGTTGAGAAAATCTATCTAAAAATGCTTTGAATGTTGGCGGGTGGCAACAAAGAGATTTTGCCCTTTTTTCGTTCAGGTTTTAATCAAATAACAGGCCCATTTGGACGTAGAAATTATACACAAAAATCCTAATTTGATAGATCAGATTGCAGAAAAGAACGCTGAAAAGTGACACATTTCACAGTCTCATTACAGTTTTATTTCACCTTGACTTTGTTTTTAAAAATATCAAAGTTGTGTTGCCACAAAGGAAGATGGATAGAGTTCGAGATGGGATTTATTCACATCGGTGAACTATGATCACAGGCAATGATCCCTGGAAGCCTACAAATCTTCAACCTTTTTAATGTAGTGCTTCTTTAGGTTGGAATTTGAATAAAACTGCGTCCAAAACAGCCATGAATTGTATCAGAGAGGAATATGACGAAAGCCTTATTTAAAAATTGTCAGACTATTATGTAAAAAGAAAGATTTCTTTTACTTTAAATGAAATATGTACTGGTAACATATACAAAAACATACCTTTATTGCTTTTTTTCAACCTGTTTGGTAATTTTACTGGTCTTATGTGACGAGGTGAAAGGTTTTTGGCAACGTTACCCGGTAAAAATCCATAAATTAACCCCATCAGTGTTCAAAGCGTGTGAACAAAGTTGTGGCTTATTGGCAGAAAATGTAAATGTAAGTTTTAATGAACAAAGAGCTTTAATACTCCTATATATTTAGAAATTGTTAGACCTGAATTCCGCTGACTTGTGAAGCCTGCAGTCTCATTCAGTAACATACCACCCTTTCCCTAATTGGGAGAAAGGCAAAGATTAGAATTCAAATTAAACCATAAGGCCTTAATGTTGTTGTTTGAGCTCAAATCTAAATTCTTTATCCTGCTTCTCTGATGGGAAGGCAAAGAGTTGGGACTGTTGTGTTACAGTCGCACACACAATCTTTGCCGGTATTTCGAAGTGATTCTTATAGAAACCTTAGTTGATAGCTCTACCCCTCGAGCATTTTTGGTTTTTAGAAATTCTTTTTTATTGTTTCATCACTTTTCAGCATTTAAAAAAAAAAGGTTTTTGCTACAAGCCATGGTTGCAATCACAGCTCAGTCAAACTTCCCTGCCTTTGAACGAAAGGGAGAAGAAAAAAAAAAAAACGGGTTAAAATGGAAGTGCTGGAAACTCCTTTCTCCGTCAGATTTGGGGAGTAGCTCTGAAGTTTGAGCCGCGCAGTGACAGGAAGTGTGTGTTTCAGAAAGCGGCGCTCCATCGCCGGATTCCAAATCGCTGTCTGTCACATGAGCCTCTCTCAAAGCTTCCTCGACAAAATCGGAGCGACTCGGCTGTGTGAGCGATCCGATCTGTCAGCGGGAAGGCGGCATGACTCAGCGTTTTGCCCGTTTTTGATGCGTTAAAGCAATGACTGTGCAAAACGAGGGAGGCTCTTTCCATTTTACCATCACATTGTGAGAGACAACCAGACTGTAACCTCCAACACCTCCATACACAAAGGTTTTTTAGTCTTGATCTAAGCCCTTGTTTTCAGCTGTATTATTCCGTCTCTCATTGTATTTATTCTTCTCCTCTTTCCTGTTTTTTTATTATTATCTCTGAGTTCATGAATACTAAGCTCTTCATCTTTGTCCTCCTCTTTCAAAGCGACGCCCCTAGCTCATAAGTCTTTTTAAAGATCTGAGAAATGTAATAAGAACGTCTTTTTCAGTCGGATGTAAATACGTAACCGTGTTCCAGTCCAGTACTTTGGATAGCGTTGATTAAAAAATGCCAAAGTTAGTACCTTCCAGCATGTTCTTAATGTTTGTTTTTCGCTCCGTAGGTCACCACAGGGAATCGCACCAAGCACTACGTGTCCTACCAACGCAACGAGTTTGTCCAGATGAGGTTTCCAAAGTACGCCCTGCCAAAGGTAAAGTACAAGCTGTGAGACACCATTGCGAAAAAAAAATGGATCGTTGTTCATTTCATATCTTTCCCCCCCACCCCCCCAAGGCCACGTTTTTACCATAAAAGAGACATTACCGGCTACACTGATGACACCCGGCTTTAGATCTTTAAACATTCACGGCTCATTTTCTCACCAACAACTTTCTAAAGCTAGGAGGAATAAAGAAAATAGAGACTCTCAAACTCGCAGTTACGTCTCCAGGATACCACATTATTTAGTTTTGCCGGAATACTTGGCCGATTTGTTCCAAGACATTTCATAGGAACGCCTCAAATCACTCACAATCCTTTGTTAGCATCAAAGAACGCAGATGCTAGGGGCGTTTAGCTGAGGGCTGGACTGTTGCTTTGACCCATTCCCTTCTGTTATGACTCTCCCCTTGTGTGTTTTATGGAGGCCAGGAACCATTCATGAAGGCCTATGCTAGCCACTTGTTGGTTAGCATTAAAAAAATGCACCTAAACAGGAGGACCTGAAATTATTTTTGAATTTCTGACAGCTTTGTAAACAAACATTGCACCTTTAGAACACAGCAATGATATCTTGAAATCATCATTTTGACCCACTCTTTATTATGAAGAAGGCAAAGTCTGTTTTATATATCACTAGAGACAGCTTGAGGCCTATTCAGGTCATTTCCTTTTCAGAGGATTCCCCTAAAGCTGCCGGAGATATATTTTATTCCACCTAAAAAGGTTGTCGTTTCTTTCTTCACTGGTCCGAGCTCTTCAGGTTTCGTTTTAAATCTTTGCAGTCGGGACTGAGCTACTCTCTGAGCCATTTCTGGATTCCGGGCAGTATTCTGCCCATATGTGGACTGACCTTTTCAAATCCTATCCCCCTCACTTTGTCCTTGATGACTGTCCAGCATTTCTCATCACAGAAAAGGTCTCTGTGCCATACTTAAAAGCATATTATTAGAAATATTTGCCCGGTTCGCTCTTCTGCAACCCCCTAAATCAGCTCTACTGAGCTCACGTTGCTCAAAACTCCACCTCAATCCCGCACGCCCTCCATGACGATCAATAACACTGTACCTCCTTGAGTTTTTTCACTCTCTTGCTATTCTGCATATCACTCCTCCCTGGCAAAATGTTCTTTTTCTCACCTCTAACAATATCGAGCTAACTGCCACTTCAAATCTACCAGCTGTTTTTTCATACTGATACACTCAGGTATCCGTCTTGGTTCCCAAGATAACTCACCTTCATTCACGCCCATTGTTGCTGATTTTAAAACCTAATCTTGAATGATTTCTGGTCGTGTGGCTTTCGATGCTGCTGATCCACATGTCAAATGACTCTCTATGTCTGCAGTTTGAAACCATTTACAACCAGTAAAAAAAAAGTTGGCCACTTTTTCGTTGACAAAATGTCCTCTGGCCCCAAATCTAAATCTCCAAATCGACGGATGATGCATTTGTTCTTTGGTATCAAGTGTTAACATGGTGCATACGCTCAAACCCGCCTCACTACAGGCCGGACACACGCCACACCCCATAAAATATTCACCAGCAAGCATCGATCCGCTCGGGTCTGGTGTCACCGGGACAAATGAGCTTTTCTCCGATAGCGGGCGGGGACAGGAACTCTTCCTGTCAGCTTTCTGGGGCCGTTTTAAGACAATGCCGGCCATGGGCGCTATTGAACCGCTCTGATTGAATGCAGCGCCCTGGGAGGTGTCTCACACATTATCCGGCGTCCAGATAGGAACAGAGAACATTTGAGGCAATCACCTCGATTTGCAAACAGGAATTTGAGCTTTTTTTAATTCAGACTCACGCACACACATTCTTGTTGGATTTGTTTAGGACCCAATAGGATTCCCCCCTACTCTCAAACACACTTTACATTAGATTAATATTAGGCTTCACTTCTTTGTTTTTACTGTCGGTTATCCTTAACCCTATAATGCCAAATGTATCATATTTGATACATACGGTTTCTGAAATGTTTTGCGCCTGACACCTTTTGCATAATTTAATGGTAAAAACTTTGCTCAAAATGCTATTGTACACAATCAGATACACCTGATAACAGGGGGCAGAAGACTACACTAAAGGTTATCTTGACTTATCGCTTAGTAATAAATTAGTAATATTAAAAATGTATTTCTGTTTTTTCTTACTACATATTTTGTGAAAAGGCCAAATAACGACTTCAAACAAAAAAAAAGTAATATTCAGTTTTTTTTTATTCTTGGATCAGGCTTTAAAGGGTCAAAGAAGTTAAAAAGGGTGGAATTTTTACGCGCAAGGGCCCCACATGGCAGACAAACAGACATAAATGGAGTCTGTTTGATTCCAGAGACGGAGAGAATCGTTCCCGGCACGGGAATGCGTGTCTGTGTGTTAGTTTAAATATGCGCCAGTCGATCTCCGCCTCTTGTCTCCGTTCTCGCCACATGTGTCCTCTTACTTGGGTGAGCAGATAGGTCACACTTGACGAAGCTTTTAGGTCAGGCGACGTGGGCTGGGGCGGGGGGGGGGACACGGGGAAGGAGTGGGGTATGGATGGAGGGAGATACCGAAAAAAGGAAGGGCTGAGGAAAATGTGCGAGTGTGTGTGTGTGTGTGTGTGTGTGTGTGTGTGGGTGGGTGTCTGGGTGGACGGTTGGGTGGGAGACGGAGCGTTTGCCTGTTTTTCAACGGTGAATAATTGAAAAGCCGCCGAATGAAAAATGCAGAGGCCATCAAAGGAAGCGGTTGGGCTCCGTCCTGGGAGACACGACCCGAGTTATGGATTAACCACACACACACGCGCACGCTCACGCGCACAAACGTATGCGTGAACACATGCTCTCGGCCTGCTGGGTTATGAAATAACACGATGATTTGTCCCTTCACCCAGCTTCTGTCCGTCATGCCGTTAACCACTCACGAGGTCAGTGGCTTTTCTGATCCTTTTTCTTCAGATAACCGAAATGCACATCAAGATGCAGAAGATCAGACAGAGTTTTACCACCTAAATGCTATTGTACACTTAGGCAACTGCAGGAAATATATGGAAATATCTTTTTCATAAGGGTCCGTTGGATTGCCGAATCTCCACTGGAGGAGGAAAAGAGCGTTTTCTGTCCTGGCCATTGAACATTGGGCCCACTCTACACCCTCTTCAGGGTCCTGGCAGGGGTGTGGGATTTATCAACTATGTACCCCGGGCAATCTTGTGTGGGGGGTGCTCTGGGAGTATGGAGTTCCAGCCAATTCAGGGACGAACAGAATATATCGCAGTCTGCAAATGGGTGCACATTCACATGGGGAATCTTGACCTAATCCAACCAGTTTACAATGTATTTTCATTCACACCTTCACAAACACAGCACGGTGATATCCTTATTCACACCTACAGGACCCTTGAATACAGGTCATACGCTCAAAATTGGCTGTTTTTCCCAATATCAGTCGTAGGAACATAGTTTATCAGAAATATCTCCAACTGATCATTTTCTGTCCGATATTAGTAAATCACAGCAACATGTTACTTTAGTTAAAAAGAGTATGGTTCTTTGGTGTCCCATGTTAAATACCTCAAGACTATAGAGCAAACTAAATATCTAGCTCAGTATCTGAATAGAGTAATAATACAATGAAAAGCCTAGAGTGTGAAATGAATGAAGATTATAGCACCAAAAAAAATAGATGTATTGATTGATTATAGGATTTTGACGTTATTTAAAGATTTTATTTTGTGATGCTGGCAGTTAGTTTGAAATTTAGAAGTACTATTGGAATTTTGAGAACTATACCCGGTATTTCTTGGTATCAGGTGACGCATGGGCATGTTTGTTGGACGCTGAACCAACAAAAACACCCGATAAAGTTATCTGATTTTGATTTGACGCCTTTTTGCATCAAGTATTGGAAAGAAAATAAAAGTTTTTCCCCGTTTTAATCCTGTTACCATGTTGAAATTTACACGGAGCAACACAGAGCTGAATGACTCCGAAGCAGGTTTACGATCTGCAAACTTTATGATTTACGACCAGACACGACAACAACTTTCAACATGGCGGTGGCTCGGAGCCACAGCCATAAATCCAGGGTTAATTGAGCCTGAGTGTATTTTCCCCGAGCAAGATGGAAGAGTGTCAGTGATAAGACACACCCGATCGGGCGCCTTCCTTCGCACTCCGATAGCTCTGTCTTCAAAATGTTATGTTAATGTAATCACTAACACGGAGAAAGTGCTGAGTCGCTCTCGTGTTCTTTCGTGAGTGATGAAGCCATTTTCATCCCGGGCTTCGACAAGTACGCTTAACAAGTTTTTCTGAGCTGTCAAATCCAGTTTTTCAAAGGCTCGCGCACACTTTTCCCCATCTTCTTCAGAGTGTTTTTCTGTAACTGTGGCTCTGTATTTATGGGATTATGTTGTTTTTTTCGTGCTGCCTTTAGCACTTTATTCATTCTCTCCTACTTGTCTTTTCTCCTCACCATCTAGCAGTATTCTTGCTTTTTTTTAAATGTTCTCCTTTGTCTATTTTTGCTGGGTTTTTTTACCTGTTTTTAATCATTGTAAAAATCTGGACTGTGATCGTCAGTTTCAATTCTCCTTGTGTTTATTTTTTCCATTATTGTCTTCTGAGTTTAGCCTTGTAGTTCACTTTGTGTTTCTTTTCTTTTTTTATGTGAGTTTCTGGTTTAATCGCTCTTGGCTTAGCTTTTTATGTGCCTTCGTTAGTTTTGAATGTTTTATTCTGGTGTCTTTCTTCATTATCTGTAGTTTTCCTCGCATTCCCATCAACTTTACTCCCCTCTGTTCCCTCCGGTGCTGTTTGTCATCAACCCCCCGCTGTGCTCCCTGTCTCACCTGCTCTGTATCCACTAAGCATGCTCCCCTCCATGTAAGCTTTCTATACATCATTCATTCCGTGTCAGATCCCACTGTCAGTGGACCATCCTACGCTTGATCTGTATTCCTTCCTGGAGTCCCTCTCCCCTCGTCCTTTTTGTTCTCTGGGTGTCTTCTGGGTTCTTAGGTCTCTATTGTCCCAGGTTTGGTTTTAGTTATATATCCGTTATATATCCGTTAGCCTTTCCTTAATAAAAAGGACTCATTTTGGATCCTACAACCATACCCCTGCATCGTTATCAAATGGATGGTTTGGTTAGGCCAGGAAACAATGACAGTTTAATAGCACAGTTTCTGTGAGTTTGTGATAAAATATGTGTAAAATATGGCAAAAGTGTCACCTTTTTTACCTCCTCTGTTTCTTTTTACATAGTGTCCAGCCTAAAAGAGTCCCCATATCCCTGGACATCATGTCAAGCTTTAAGCAGAACCCATGTCTCCATTAAGGAGGGGGGGTAAAGTCGATTAAATGGATTTATTAAGATGTTAGAATTCGAAATAATATATATAACTGTCTTTAATTATGTCCTGGTGGTGTAAACATTTGGTTAGGTGAGATATTTTTGGTTTGTCAGTTTTGTAAATGTTGTTTAGCTTATTGGGAAAGGAGGACTACTAAAGGACTACTAAACTTGGGGAGGAATTAGTGTGAAAAGGTTGTTGGGTGTTGTTTTTTTTTTAAAGTTTTTTTTAGTTAAAACTAACACCTGATTGGCCAAATTCTAAGCCTCATTTGTAAATCGGCTAAACTACCTTTATTTACCTTTTATGATGGCTTTTCAAATGTGAGCTCTGCTGAGACATTAGTTGCTGTGAATAATAGAACTCTCAGTTTCACCCATTTTAAATTAAGGATCACTACACACAATAAACAAATGCCTGGTCTTACCCTTGAGAGACTTTGCATCTTTAAAGTGCTCTTTTTTGTATCTAATCATGTCACAGACCTGTTGTTAATCGACCCAAGTAGGTAAATGATTTCTCTTTAGTTCAATCTTTTGATTCCCACATACTTTTTTTATTCTTCTTTGATACATTTTTCTGCCATCAAAAGCAATGAGAGCCCTAATGGATGTCCCACGTTACCTGAATACCCCTTGATATTTGCCATATTTTCAATTATCTATTGTGAACACAATATTGATTTGAAAATAACTGTATTATTGTATTTTTTACACCACTTTTGTGGAATTTAGGCTGTATCTGCACTGTCTTTGGCAGTTTGGTTATTTTTCTCGTCTGTTTTCTTCCCTCTTCGGTTATATTCACCCTCAGCTCGGGAGATTTAAAGAACACTCAATATTTCGTCTTCACCCCGACTTTTCCTTTGCTTTTCCTTCTCTTTATCTACCTCTAGGACGTTCAGGTGGTGAGTACCGACGAGAACCAGGTCTTCCTCGCTCTGCAGGAGTGGTACCAGACCGACACGTACAACCTGTACCAGTCCGACCCCCACGGGGTCTACTACTCCATCGTCCTGGAAAACGTGCGCAGCACCAAACAGCCGGAGGAGAACGTCCTCATCGACATCCTGGAGGTGAGGCGGCGGGAGGGACGGCGAACGGTGTGCAAACTGGCTCCTTTACAGACTTTTGAGACGCACGAAGATCGAGCGGAATTCAATTTCGCTGAAACCAAATCGAAGCTTTGGTCTTCCTCATAAAGGGAGTTATCAAAAACACAGAATCGCCGAGAAGCAGGTGGGAAGGGATCGCACCTGAAAGGATAAAAACTCTGAGGATGCGGGCGCAATTCTCCGTTAATCTACTACGAATGAACGCCATTTAAATAAAATACATTCCGCAAGGAGCATAGAGCCTCTGAATGACTTCCAGGTGCAGCATCTGAAGGTGTATTTCAAACCAGCAGCACTCCAACTTAAAGCGCTCGGGGGACTTTCCCCTTTAACGAGCTAAGAAAAAAACGATTCAGCCCTAGGCCTCGGCTTCAGTTCAGATCAGGCAAATGATGTTTCACCCCCACAGGGCTCTTGGCTGTGTTACTGGGAGGCTCTTGGGCATTTCAGTCTCCTCGTAGGCCCGCCGTAATCTCCTTAGATCAGTTTCTCTCTTTTTGGGTAGCTCTAATGATGTATGGATTCGTGGTCTAGGTTTGGTTTGGCTTCGCTTTGGTTTCTTGCTGTAGGGACCTTGTTTTATGTTGTTTAATTTACTTGCACTGTTACACTAGGCTTTAAATTCGCTAGTCTGTTTCTGTCTCAGTGTATATTTCCCTTTCAGTGGTTCCTTGTCAGATCATTCACCTTTTCTAGAGAGCGGTATCTATCTCCTTGATTGTTTTTTTCTCTATCTATTCTGTTTGGTAATATCAAAACCTGCCAAGCATGCCTCGCTCTTCTCCTCTATGGTGGATCCACCATTCCCATATCTACACTTCTGATTCCTAACGGAAAAAAAACCTTTGAGACTCTGATATCAGGGCAATACGACTTTGTCCCATGCATAAAGACACAAGTACAGAGTTAGCGTGGGCTTTTTTTTCTTTTTTTTTTCAATCTGAAGTGGAAACTGTCATGGCTCTCTATTTGACATTTTATCAGCCCAACACTCGAGTCGACTTTTTTTTTCAAACGCACGTTTGATTGAGGACCTGCCAAATGCTCCCTGCCCTCATTACGGGGTAGAAATGTTTCTACCTTACCAGTCAGAGCTGTCAACACCCCTGCTGATGGTTCAGGAAGAGTTGACAGCTCTGTTTAACCCCGGTTTCCGATTGTCGAAATGCAGGGAACTAAAGTAAAAAAAGAACCGGCTTTAAAGATTCTGTTCCTAGAAAAAGCGCCTTTGTCAGACATTCAGCTTGAGTAGCTATTTTGTCCCTGAGGGGACACTCGTATTGTGACTGTATGAGTGTTTCAACCAGCTCTTTACGTAAATGTCACAGCGGCCACAAACCTAGTGATAAATAAAGAAGCAGGGGGGAGGGTTGGAGGGCGGGAAATAACAGGCAGTGGACCGTGGAGGCAAAAGGCCCTCACAGGGTTCCCTCCATCTCTTATTTTTCACTTCCCTGCTCAAAGCTGAACCAGCTGTGCGTAGAGAGGCTGAGAGTCACGCAACGTATGCGAAGGAAGTCCTGAGTTGAAGGGAAGATCTGCAGAAAAAGAGCTGAACTGTTGGCTGGATATCCAGAGTAGAGCGAGGGGTTCTGTTTTTTTTACAGTTAACACAACAGTTGCCTGTCCAGTGCCTCGTAAATACTTCATGCCGCATTAGAAAAGTCCAGCACCACGGCGTGTGGTATTCAGTTCAAACAAACCAATTGAATCCAATGACAAATAGACGGTCTAAGATGTAGTCAATATCGGGGGGCCCTTCATCACGTCCGGACGCGTGGAGAGTTCACAAGGATGCTCTGTACTTTTATACCGTACGATGGAAAATCTGCCATTTAAATCACGGTTGTGTCAGAAAAAGGGGACTTTCCTTTGGACCCTTTAGACCTAATCGTAATAGGGGCTCATTGAGTGTAAAAAGGTACAGGGAGGCTATGAGGAAAACCCTACACAGTTTTTTTTCTTGGACCTTTATTCAATTCAATTCAATTTTATTTATATAGCGCCACATCACAACAACAGTTGTCTCACAGCGCTTTCTAAACAGAGCAGGTCAGACCCTACTCTGAAGTTAATTACAGAAACCCAACAATTCCCACCATGAGCAAGCACTAGGCGACACAGGCAAGGAAAAACTTCCTTTTAACAGGCAGAAACCTCGAGCAGAACCATGGCTCAGGGTGGGCGGCCATCTGCCTCGGCCGGTTGGGGGTGAGGGAAAGAGAGGGCAAGAGAGAGAGGGCGAGAGAAGGACAGAGGGAGCAGAGAGAGGCAGCCAACACAGCAACACGTAGGCTAGATGAAAAATGGCAATGATATTAATACTAATGATTATGGTAGAAGTTATGACAGAAATAACACTAACACTTTATGTTGATGGGATCACAAAAGTGCTATAAGGTCTCTTGTATACACTAAACCGATGTGACAAAAGAGGCCCTTTGTTGGGTCTTCTTAGATTAGAAATTAGTCAGTTTGACATTAAAGCATAAGTCTATTATTTTATGAGGTACAGCAATATGACACTATTATTTTTATTATCATTGGTTCGTCTTAAATTGAGTTTTTTGGTACACTGACACAAAGACGGAGAAGAGAGCGCAGAGCGTGTCGCCTACATTTAATGGAGGCCTCGGGAAACTTCGTCAACTTGCCAATAAAACAGCAGAATGCGTCTAAATTAAGCGTCCCGTATCGTTTTTTTGCCTCGGAGCCGTAATTCAGAGCCACGTCGGGCTTTGTTCCACGCACACGACCGGGGCTTGCCTTTAATGAGAACTCAGGTTCCTTTTAATGGGGAAATCAGGTTCCTTTTGTTGAGCCGTCAACAATGAGTGTGTTTGATTCCTACAGGTGCGCGGAGTCAAAGGGGTCTTTCTGGCCAATCAGAAGATCGATGGAAAAGTGACGACGCTTATCACCTATAACAAAGGGCGCAGCTGGGACCCTCTGACCCCACCCGCCACCGACATGAACGGCAAACCAGTCAGCTGCAAAGCGGTACGCACTCCAGTGGACTTTTTCATTTGCATGAGGACAAAAAAAATAAAGAAAATGTCATGTTTCGGTTATTTCTCAATGCTAGCTTACGTTCTTAGTCAATCTTTCCTTATTTCTCTTTAGATGTTTCAATAGGTGAGCTGTCAGGGGCAGAACCCTCCAGTGTTTTGTCTTAGAATCATTATCATATTGTACAAACGAACTATTTGATTTCTTTTTAAGCTAACAGCTTCATCACTCGAATGCTTTTGTTTCCACTTTGTCTCAGAAGCATTTCGACGCTCATTTGACAACTTATTATGCCAATTTTGGTAGAGAACACAAAGAAAATCTCTCTCTTCTCTTGCGATTCAATTTCTTTTGGGACTTTGCCGTTCTCGTCCAGCTTTCTCCGACCTCGTGGACATTTGATCATTTCAAAATCAAGAGACTTTCGAACAAAAGAAACAAGATGAGATTTCGGCTGCTGATTATTGGGTTGGAACATCTGCATTCACACATTCTAAAAAAGACCGTTTTTGCTTAATGTTGAGAAGATTGTATATATTTGCCTCTTAGATATTCACTGTGAAAGAGCATCACAAAACGAGCCGTATTGCCGGCGCCCCGTATTGTATTGCCGGCGGCCCCGACATCCCAGAATCTGGCCTGACATCGGTTTAAATCAGTCACACAGAGCAGATCCCACCACAACATAGCTAGTTCAGCCTCTTTATCTGGAGTCGTGCGTGTGCAACCATCATAAACTTTGCACCAGGTTGGTCAGACTAAAAAACACAAAGTAAGAGGAGGTAGGATGAGATAAAATGTGTGTGAGATGCCCGCCTACTGGAGCTCTGCCATCCATCTTGCCGAGGCTGCCGCTGCAGGGTTGTGCTGTGACTCACTCTGTCTGATATCCATACATCACAGCCGGCTGCCAGATTGAGGAGGGGGGGGGGGGACAAGTCGGGTACCTTATTTGAACCATCGCTCATGTCGGCTGACAAATATGAGGAGGTAGACAGAGATATCAGTTCAAATACTCTTTTGCTGTTATCGAGACACACGAAAAACGTCGGTCGGATCTCAGATATTGACCTTGCCTTTCTTTTTTAGTCTCATCCGTACCTCGATAGAATTCTTTAGCGGGAAGAAAAAAGAAAAAAAACTGTCAACTATCTTGGATTTAAGTCACATCCATCAGGCAGATCAGGCCACAAATCAAAACCGGGCTCCATGTGCTAGCTAACGCGACGGCTTACCAGGAAAACACTGGAAGCCGGCTCCATTATCCGCTCACTTGTTAGAGACCGGCCCAGAGTAACAACCGTCTACACACAGGGGGAGGTTTAGCCAACAAATGACGGCCTAACCCACGCAGACGACAACCAGGCGTGGAGCGTTTCCCCTTGAATTGAGGTCAAGGTGTTAGCGACCGTAATAAGGGAAACGTAGACGAGACACGAACGGCGTCAGAAGTCCTTTGCCAATGTCCCGCATTTAACACAGTTTGAAGCCCTTTGCTTTGACTGTTCAATTTTCCGCTTGAAGTCCTCGTTATTAATTAAAGCGACTTTCTTAAGATGCTTTTTTTTTCTTTTTTCCGTACATTAAATTTGATTAGCGGCTCTAAAATGCCCTCGGATTATCCGGTATCCATGTAGCAAGACTCATTAAAAGGGGGCTCTCCACGCGTTCTTTTTTTGGTATCTTTTCTCTCTCTCTCTCTCTTAAACTCACACAATCTTACGCTCTACTCGATTATGACTCAGTGTTTGTGCTATCCCCCATTCCCCCCCCCGCAGCCGGATTGCCACCTCCACCTCCACCTGCGCTGGGCCGACAACCCCTATGTGTCCGGGACCGTCCACACCAAAGACTCGGCTCCAGGCCTCATCATGGGTGCCGGTGGGTCCTCAGAATCTTTCATGTTTTTTCAATTTGCGATCTTGGTCCACGGCTGATATCTATTCAGCTTTTTTGCATTTCATTCACTTCTTTTAACGTGTTCTGGAGAATAGCCCAGCCCTCAAACGTTCAGTGGTTCGCTTGAATTTCTGAACCAGTGGATAAACGTTTAAAAATGTGGACGAAATTGGAGGACAAGTCAAGCAAAGGCCTTGAAACCATTCAGCCGGACCTCCAGTTAGGCTGCCCGATCCGCTGTCCGAAGGTGTTTTTGGTGTCACAAAGGTGGCTAAATCAAATCGGTAAACTTGGCTGAACTCCTCACTTCATTACTAAACTAATGTAAAAAAAAAATAATAATTTAAGTACCACTCATTCATTATTTCTTGTCCTAATTATCTCCCAGAAAAATCAGACTAAAAGGACATTTAACCCTATAAAGTCTGACCAAGGGAAAAAATTATTGAAGACTTTCAGTTTTTTTTAATCTAAAGTCTTTTCTGGACTCAAAATATATAAAGAAAAACCTAAACAAACACATAATTTACACGTTTAGCTTTAACGACATGAGACGAGAGGTCTTGGACAACTACGTTTCAAATGTGACACATTTAAGGGTGAAACCTCCTTTGGCTCGAACAAACTGAAGTCTGTCTGACACTGAGTAAATATTAGACTATCAATTCACTTTACAAAATTGGAATTTAACTCTCGCCATGACAGTAGACAAGTCTACCAAATTGAGCGTCTATTGATTTAATATTGACATTTTAATTGATGTCAATATGTGTGTTGACCATTGACATCATTTCAGTGTTAAATCCTTCAAATATTTGAACCACTTTGGGTTTAAACCCTCTCTCCCCGTTTGAGTTTGAGTTCAGTGTTGAATGAAAAATTAAGAAAAATCTCAGTCTGAGGAATTCTTAGAATATCTGAACATTCAAGGGGTTTGGGAAACAGAATTTTCATGTTTACCTTCGACTGGAGCTAAACGTATAGAAGTCTGCTCTCGCTTCTGGTTTCCTGAACTGTAGCATTTATTAGAAAATAAATAAGACCAGAACTACCTGCCAGATAATGTGCTGTCAGTCAAGTGTCAGGTAATTGGTGTATTTTGTCAGGAAGAAAATGTCCCTTTTTATGAGGGCAATTACAGCTTTTAGAGGAAAGCGCTGTTTAACTGTGACATTATAACCATAATCGGGGAGTTGTGATATAGATCCTGTTTGGGCCATAAAATAAAACCTTCTCTTCAGTCTAAATGGAGGATACTGAACATGCCACAATCCCAGATTTTTCCGATCAAGATTCTGATGTAAATTAGAAACTTAGCAAAATGAAAACATTTAGATGATGTTTTTAGGATGATGTTTACATGTTAATTATATCTATTCACATTACAATCGTGGTTGTACGATAATACTCCATAATAGGCAAATATTTCATGTATTCACTGTTATGCTACTCAAGGAGAACACAAATATTTTATTATGTCTACGAAAAAAAACAAATCGATGAATAACTTTTTTTCCCTCCACTGCGGCATGTAGGTAATTGAAGCATTTAAAAGCCTTATTTCTTTGTTTGTGATAAAGAAAATAATTCCAGAAACCCATCAGACAGAGAGCTGCCTGTGTGTGTCTGTCCTTTGTTGTGTCACGCCTTACATTATTTATTGGAACCTATTTCCTCAAGAAGAAACACCTCCAGAAAAGTTTAAATAAAAATAAATAAATAAAATCGTAAATCAACAGTGGAAAGATTGGGAGTATTTTATTAATGTGCTTTTCAGGGATTTGGTCTTGGAAAATCTGTCTATTACTTCTTATGTATCTGTTTGGTGTGTGTGTGTGTGCGTGTGTGTGTGGGAGCAGCAAACTGTGAACTAAAATTCATGGATCAGGCTGAAATAATTGAATAATTGGAAATTCTTTCTGCACATTTTAATGTTTTTGCCAATTTCTAAATCCATATCCATTCTTTCCCATTCTGCAAAACCTCCCCTGTCAGATAAAACTCTAAAATGTTTTTGTCTTTTCTTCAGGTAACCTTGGATCCAAGCTGGTTGAATACAAGGAAGAGATGTACATCACTTCAGACTGCGGGAAGACGTGGAGACAGGTACATCACGCCCTCCCTCGCTTCTCCCTCTGACCTCCTCTCTCTCTCTGCTCCGAGGAGAATCCAAAAAAGAAATAAAAATCCAATTTCATAGTCCTCCTCTGTACTTCTACACCGTACTTCTCAGCGGACCGGGTATCAAAGTGCTTTTCACAGCTGGTTACAATGAAGACAATGTGATGATTCACTTTGCTACTTCTCAAGGTTTTCGAAGAGGAACATCACATTCTGTATCTGGACCACGGAGGAGTCATTGTCGCCATAAAGGACACCTCTATTCCCCTCAAGATACTCAAGTAAGTTTTAATATCCACCGTGTAATATTGTAAGATTACATATTGGGATCATCAAATATATTCCCAACCCTGCAGTTGATGATTGTGTTATTCCACCTCTGAAATGATGGATAGGATTAAGGTACCTTAGGTTTTTTTTTCTTCTGGATGATGTATTGGTACTTATGTTATGAACAATGGATCTAGTGTTGGTACCAGTGGATCATATCTTCGTAAAAAACAAAAATGAAAACATTCACGAGCTCCATAACAAAATTAAGTGAGAAAAGAAGTGCTCAAAGATGATGCTCAAATAAGTGCTATGTTTAAGGCATTTATTGGGACCTTTTGGTCGTGGACACAAGACATTGAACCCATCATTACGGCGCATTCTCCGGCATCCTTTTTAGTTGTTTAAGTTGCATGAATAGAAATTAAAAAAATGGGCATCTGAGGGTTTTGATGCAGCAGATCTTTTGTGCCATTAGCCAGTTTGGGAGTTTGGAAAAAACAAAGGTGTCAGACTCTTTGTCTAGTTCTTTGAGACCTTAAAGCGCTGCGTGAAAATAAGTTTTCCTTTTTAAGCATATTTATTTCCATAGGACCTATAGTACCTTCATGGATAGGATTTAAATCAATATTAATATAGCCGATAAGGGAATTGAGGAAACATGGATCACAGATGTAGTGTTGCCATTCCAGCTGGTCTTGGACCTATGCCATTGACTGTTGGACAGCAATTTTCGAAGCATAATGCTTGATAGAAATGACAAAATGTTTCAAAGTAGCATCGTAATAAATTAAGTTTGACTAAAAAAATCAACTGAAGCACAGTAGCTCAGCTGGATCCTGTTTCTGTGCCTCAACTTCCACATGGCAACTACTTTTTTAGAAAGTATTAGGCTAAGAGATTAGATTCCACCCTAGTTGGACAAGACTATTGTAGTATTCTTTGAGGCCTTCCTGAAGCTTAACTCATCTGGAGACACCCATGAATGATTGATTTCACCGACATCAAGATATTTTAGGTCTCGGTTTGCTTCTATCAAAGGAGTGTAGCGGTGCAACGTCTGATCATTATCCAGCAGACCGCACCCAGAGAGAGAACGGGAGAGAGAAAAAAAAAAAAAAAAAAACTTCCATCAAAGGCTCCCGGTTGCATCACGTTGCCTTCCTTTATCTCTCCCCGTGATCTCTGTGTCTCAGATTTGCGGGGAAAGTTGCAAACAGAATGAAATGAAGGGTGCAGGGTGTGAAATGAGATTCACACCCTGCTCTTGAACATCTACACGGACCAGAGTTGTCTCCTTCCATTTCAGACAATTAAAAAAAACAACAACATCCGATTCGGGGAGCGGCTGATGCACTTGTCAAAGTGCAATGAACAACTCTTTTTTGGAGGAATAATTAAGCTTAGCAGCAGCATTTTGAAACGTCTGTGTTTATCCATTCTGTTCTCTTCTTAATGTGAGTGTTTACAGCTGATTATCTTAATGCAGTCCCTGTGAAAACATCATTAAAACACAACCTGCGGTGTGAGAGGTATGCTGTGGGAGTCCTCATTGATCTCCCCCCCATCACACAGTCACACTTCCTCAGCTTAGCTACTTCTTACTGCTGGAGTTGTCAATAGAGTGAATAAAGCATAGCAGATGGCTCTTCTAATTTATTTCAGACCTCCGATTCTGAGTTGAGAAGCTCAGTGTCCAACACAGATAACGAGAAAGATTAGCATCTTTGCTGTTTTGATCATTTGTAATGTTTCTTTTGAGAAAAGAATTCGGTTGGTAAAGGATCAGACTGGCCACAGGAATAAGTTTGATCTAAAACGGCATAAAATGAAGAGGAAAGTTAGAAGATAAAGGTCTGTTAAACTAAGAAATCAAGTTTGACAAAGGCACACTAGCACACGCTAGCTTGCTAGAGAGGCTAGCTGCTAAAAGCAACACTTTGTGTTTTGATTTATTGTTTTTTTTGTTTTAAGGGAGTTTGTGTAGAAGGGCTCATCAATTGTTTGGATTTTATCTGGACATGGTTCAGAACAATAAAAGTTTTATATAAGTTTTGAGAAGCAAAGGTCCATCCCAGGCGGTTAGCTTTACAGGGGAGTTAGCTCGAGGCTAAACCTGGGATACTAACTGAATACTAACTTTAAGACTGTGAAAGTTAATGAAAAGTGCAGACAAGTCGAAACAATTCCAAACAGCTGCAATATTTTGAACTGAACATCATCAGTCTGGATGCAAACCTCTTTGACAGACTCGGCATAAGCAGCCAGACACATTTGGTAGTCTCTGTGAATAGTAGAAAAGCCGGTCTTTCTTTTTTGTGATTGAATAAATCAAAATGACAGCTATAATATAAATTTTATATTGTCATTATATACTAAAACGGAGTGGAGAAAATAGCTAAGTAAATTGGACTCAAATTGGATTCAATTGGACTGTATTTTTGAAGATGACATTTGTTGTGATTTGGTGCTTTTTTTTTAAAAATAACATTGAATTGAATTCATTCAGTGGCAGGCCCACTTCCACAAAATCTCAACAAAACATTGCATAGTTTAAGAAAAATTGTGTGGAGCAGCAGGGCATTAAAGTTTAATATCAAGTTTTTCTTTAATAAACTGACAAAAATTTGCACTTTATTCCTTCTGGTTATTCTTTGTTGTTGTGCTTCTGTGTTTTGAATGAGAACCGGGGGGACATTCGCAGCGGGCCGGGGTCCATAAATATTTGAAAGGTCTGGTTTTGGCCCGACTAGCCCTTTCTTTTCCCGGTGTCATGTATACCGTCTTAACGGCTTCATCTCCAGACGGTTTCGTCATTCTGAGTGTCAGTAACGGTGAACCCTCTCTCCTCAGGTTCAGTATTGATGAAGGCCGGACGTGGAATGTTCACAACTTCACCAGCACCTCTGTCTTCGTGGACGGCCTCCTTAGCGAGCCGGGAGACGAGACCCTGGTCATGACGTGAGTACTTATTTATGTCCCCATCAGTAGACCTGACACCAACAGAAATCATGGGAAAATATGACCTAGGTTCTGGGTTCCAGTCCCTGGGGAACCCAGGAACTTTCTGTGTGGAGTTTGAATCTTCTCCCTGTGTCTGCGTAGGTTCTCTCTCCGGGTTCTCCGGCTTCCTCCCACAGTCCAAAAACCTGCATGTTAGGTTGATTGGACTTTCCAAATTGCCCTTAGAAGTGAGTGTGTGTGGTTATTCGTCCTTGTGTGTCTCTGTGTGACCCTGATATGGACTGCTGGACCATCCGGGGTATACCCTGCCTCTCTACTATAGTACTGGTATAGGCTCCGGCCCTCCTGCGACCCCATTAGGGAATATATATATATAAATATATGAGAGATAGCTGTGGAAGAAGAAGTTACACTGTATTATTATATCCTGTAGCTAAAAGCTGGGATGGGCAGACGGATGAAAATGAAACTGCAGTTCTTTTTTTTCCACACTGGCATTTCTATGCAGATCACAAAAATCTAAAAATAGATCACCACCAACCTGGAATCAAAATCAGTCATTAAAGAGCCCCATCCCACATATTTTTCTTCTTTGAAAAAGATTTTGTTGCCGTGTTTCACTCGCTCACTTGATCTGGTCCCCAAAGGCCCGCTTCGTCATTGCCATGATCTAGATTTTGTAAATCCTCAAAATAAGGCTCTTTTTTTTTAGACCACTTTAACAACTAGTTAGAGGGGGTGTTTGGAATATTTTTGCCAAACAATCCCAAATATGAACTTGCCCTCTATCCCAGCCCTCAGACCTACGATACTTTCAAAGTCCCTGCCCCTCTGCGCAATTCTACTGGGTCCTCTGACAGAATCCACCCAGCTGCACGCTTTATTCAAGGGGGCTCGAGTTTCTCTTCCATCACGACAATTCCTTCGCGATCTGCTGAAGCGGCGCACCCAATATCGTGGCGCTGACAGCAGCTGGTCTCGCTCCTGGTTTCCCCTCAAAGGCCTCCTTTCTCTCTCGATCTACAGATCGCCACTGCCTATAAGCGTTTGAAACTAGCTAATAACTGCGCCAGCCTGCTAACACTAAGCTATGACCGGTATGACAGTTTTGGTATGGGCTCTCTTAATTTTTATTTAAGTTTTTGCTCATTCTTGGCACATGATCTAGAAATACCACCCACTAAGGCTAGGCAAAACATTCTTTTGATTGTAGTCATTATCCTTTCAATATTCATAAATCTCTGGAATTATCATGTTAAGCCTCACCGGCACCATGGCTATCTGCTTTTGACTCTCTAATACACTCACAGTAGAGCTAATTTACCAATAGGATTGGAAAAATATAGACTTTTTAAGCTAAAATTTGCCGTTGACGATGACTTGTGGTAATGACAGAGGAGACTGCCATGGAAAAGTTTCACTCCATTCATCATCACAAGCAAGTTTCCCTACATTTAACGACCAGGAAATAAATAAATAGTTCTGAAACACAACCGGATACGTCGTACTGAAAGTTATTGACATTTACAAAAATGTGGCATATTTTTTAATACTTCAGTCTTTCAGTTTTATGACACTGGTGAACTCTTGACTTGTCCAGAGGAGACAAGTCCTGGCAGAGATGCTTGTCAGTTACTGCCGTCCCTACAGCTAGCTGAAGGAAAACTGAAAGGGGAAACAGTATGCTGTGGGCATAACATGAACTTTTCCTCCAACACTGGCATTTCACTCTGAACATCTTCAAGTCATGCCTTATATGCTGAGTTTCACCTTTTCGTAACACAAATTCATCAGATTTATTGCAGTATATACTTCATTTACTTTCTCAACCGGATGCTTTTTAAATAAGATCTTTCTTTAAATTACTTTCTGATGTGTTCGCCGAACATGATAAGAATAAAACTGCTTTTTCTGTTATTCAAATCTTGACTGGGTCAAAATGGCTCACATTCAGTTCTGGCCACGTCAGCAAAATCCTCAACTTCAGACTTGAAACTGCCAAACTTCAAGAGTTCCAATCTTTACGGGGCGTGAAGGCTGTTTATCGCCTAATCTCTCCATCAGCGAGTTAGCCGGAGTGAGACTTGTCACATCATCTCGGGGCTCTCAGATAAGGCCATAATCTGCTGAGAAGGGCAAAGAGACGGAGGACACACACCGTGCGCTCGCACGTGCGCGTGGACACACATGCAAGAGGTTTGAACATTTAGCCTCACTCGGCTGATATCTCCCATATCAGACACACACACATACACGCGCACACACACACAAAGACATCTATATCTACTGTATATCTATATACATTCCCCATCTGGCTTGGGTGAGATAGGGTCAGTGGTTATGAAGGGCTGTTGAGGGTTAGCTCATGTCTGACAGATTATCCGGGGTCTTTATTTTTTTTCTCCCCCCCCACCTTTCCCTTTCGGTGGAGTTTCGATTTTTGACGGCACCGTCTGCCGACCCTTAATGAAGTCTTTGAGCAGTGACTTAGCACCAAGGACAGGTGGGGGGGGGGGGGGGGCAGAGCTCATACCAATGACAGCTGGTCAAGTCGCAGACTGGACAGACTGACAATGGGCACACGGCTGCCGCATGAGATCATCGCTCCGACATTTGTCTCTCCCAGTTTTCCACACGCCACGGAACGCGCAAACAGTAGAAGAAGAAAATCCTCTAACCTCAAAAGATTGCGTCCATCAGACCTGATTTTGTAGGAAAATTACTAATATACATGTCAGTGTTTCCTCATCCTGAGCCCTTTATTGTTAATTAGAGGGAGTTTTTCTTTTTTAAATAAAAGCCAAATTAGCTCTTGGGCTTGTGGGTTGTAGGTAAGGGAGAATGCAGGAGCTATTTTAAAATTTGCGCATGCTGTATTTGCTATTGATTTGATGTGTGAGTTAGCTGTATTATAACACAAGAAAGCAGTTTGTATCTGGTTCTGGAAATAAACACTATTACCACGCTGATCATTTTGCGGCTTTGATATAAAAGCCAAATAAAATTCTACTGTGGTAAATTGAACTTTAATAAACCGTGGGCTTATTGTTCTCAATACAGCATACACGGAGTATCTGATGGAGGAAATATTTAAGCAATTTTGATGGTGTGAGCCATAAAAACTGCAAATGAGTTTAATACAGGTCGGTTCAGAGGAGCTTCAAAGGTGGCGAGTGACAATGAACTAATGAAGCACATGTTTACATTGATTTTTGTTTTGATTGGTATTCATTAGTGCATATATATACATACATAAACAGTACATATATGTGTGTATTATATATGAATATATCCATTCGTCTTTTATACCGATCACTCCTAGTAGCATTGCTAGGGGATAACTTGGGTAAGATGGGGGTAATATCAAGTTATACGTATCCAGTTTATAACATGGCCTCCCAGAAACGTACATGCAAACTCACACTGACTCCTTAGGGTCAATTCAGGGTCATTAGTCAACCTAAAATGGGTGTTTTTTGACGATGGGAGGAACTGGAGAAAAATAAAGCATACATGGGGAGAACATCAAAAATCTAATGAAGGTTGCCCTGATATATGCCTATATATATATATATATTTGAAAAACATTTCATTAACCTGTTTAAATGTTTTTTTAAAAAGGTTAACTATAACTACAGACCTTTTGCACACTTGCCTTTTACAAGTTTGTCCAAGGCTTAACATAAATCCTTGATAAAGCCAAAAAAGAAGTACAATCAGTCTTTTTTTTTTTAATCTGGAGCCAGAGGTGACACCTCCTGCTGTCTGTTCTTGAGAACGCCGCATGAAATCATGTTCTTTTACACCTTTGGCCAGGTTCATCTTTTACACTTAGTTTTGGGCTATTTAAATTTATTCTGAGCAAGAATAAGCTTGAGGTCAACAAGAACTTTTCCAGGTTGGTTCATTGGGTAGGCAACCAATTAGACAAGCAAACAAGGGGAAATAGATGAGATATGAATGTCATTATCTGAGTTTTTACATCTGTTTTTTATGAAACAAAAGAAACCTAAGAGATATAGGAGAGCCAAAAATGTACTCACATATTATATATGCGAGTATATATGAGAGGGGACAGTTGGGAGGGGACAGTTGGTTTTCTTCCAGCTGTTTTTAATAGCATTCCAGCTTTGTTGTTTAGTTGAGCCACTAAACTTTGAGCCACTATTTATGCCAAAATGTAATAACTGTAGTTAAAGTTAAGATTAGATCATGACTTCAAGCACTGACTGAGAAACCTGAGACTTTTACATAGAACTCATTGTAAATTAAGTGAGGTTACCCCAAAAAACAGACCAAAGAAAGTACATCACAGATTTTTGGTATAGTTTATTTAAGTCAGACTGACTGCGCACCAGCTGACAGCCCTCCAGTTGACCAAGAGAACAACAGTGAAGGCCCGGCTGAGACATCCATGGCTTCCCTTTAACGATGACACTGAAGGCGGCGTTAGTCACGCTCGCCTTGCTCCTCATCAAAGGTGACGGCGGGCCACTGCTGGCACAGTTCCAGATGTTGGAGCCACTGACTTGGATCGCATCAGTCTGCTTTAAAGAACACTAAAGCTGGCAACCTGAACAAAAAAAAACAAAAAAAGACAGCTGAGTTCCCAACAGTGTTGTACAGTAGTAGAACATCTCCATCTAGTGGAAAGAAGTAGGAACTGCAGTGCATTTGGACTCTAACTCTCCTTATTCTTCCAGAAGTGATCCACAGTTAGACTCTGATTAGAATATTGTGATAGAACATTATCAGATTTATTCGGTTTATACAGATTACGAGATGACTGAATGATGATATCAATGTTTGGGATTGATAAAGTCATTCTGATTCTGGTTCTGATTGTGTTTTCAGCGTGTTCGGCCACATCAGCTACAGGTCAGACTGGGAGCTCGTTAAGGTGGACTTTAGGCAGTCTTTCCCTCGACAGTGTACCGAGTCTGATTACGAGTCTTGGCAGCTCACAGATCTCCAGGTAACACACACACAAACCAATGGTTACGACACATTTACACTTTTTATTCCCGCATGTGAGGTTAATATTGATGTTTCGCTCTAAATTGAGTCATAGATTTATTCCTTGGAACATACAGTTATGTAAAAAATAAGTTGCCTCTCTTTAATTTCATGGTTTTACAAACCAAATCAAGCCATAATGAAAAAAATGCCCGTTCCTGTACTCATGTAAATCAGTTAAAGACATGATCAAATAAATGATATCAGAGTTTCTTTATTTTACACTCATAAGAATAAGAATCGAGAGTTTAAGTAGCAGCCAACTACTCCCAGTCATGCAATGGCCTTCCAGAGTGCGTTCTAAGGTCATATCTTAACTATTTGACGGTTTAAAGATTGAACATTTCTGTCTTGCTTGGGTTAACAGCTCAATAAGTTTACTGGGAACATGTGAAAAAAAAGAAACATCTCAGATTCCACAGGCTTCAGCTAGCACATTATTTGCTAAAGTTAATGACAATTACACAATTAATGAACAAGCGTGTATTGTTTGGGATGGTCCTTAAAAGGACTCAACATTGGATTGTCAAGATTTCATGGGCTGTTGGGCCATCTGATGTTTTATGTCTCCTGAGTTTAAATCCTAAAACACAGGATTCTTAAGAGGTCCTTGTGGGATATTTCATCGACCTGCTTTGTTTTGCATTTTGTCAGGGAGACAAGTGCATCATGGGCCGGGAGAGGACATTCAGGAAGAGGAAGGAAACCTCATTCTGTATCAAAGGGAAGAGCTACGCCTCCGCTATCACCAGCAAGCCCTGCCAGTGCACGGAGAAAGACTTCAACTGGTGAGCCGCAAATCCACGAAAAACAACCAGTCCCTGACCCCGTTTCCTGTCCGTCCCCCGACTTTTTTTCTAAACACACGTCTTGTTTTGTGTGCGGGAAAGCGACTACGGCTTCGAGCGCTCACGAGTGGAAGGAGACCGCTGCTTCGCCGACTTCTGGTACGACCCGGATTCGCCGCCCGAGGACTGCCATCTCGGACAAAACTACGAGTCCAGCACTGGGTAAGTGCACTCGATTACGTAAACAGCAGCTTGTGGTTCACTACCATCTCCACCCGGATTGGCCAGAAGTCGGAATGTTTCTCAGTATGAGCTCAGTAATGGAGGGTGTTGAAACTTATGCCCTTGGTTAGTTTAGAGTGATTTATCGAGTATAAATTTACAGGGTGTTTGAATTTTGGTAAGAGCTGTTGATTAGACAATGACCTATGACCTCTTTTTTTACTGCCTGCTCATTCCAGAGATGTGAAGCTGCTCTTATAACGAACCAGAGTCCACCCCTTGTGCTCTGTCTATGCTGCCCCCTTTCATTTAGATACAGGAAGGTGATATCTAACGCGTGTGAAGGGGGGCTCAACAAGCAGCAGAGCTCCAAACAGCACAGCTGTCCGCTGCTAGCCCCCAAAGGCCTGCAGGTGGGCATAAAGGGGCAAATGCTGGCCGTGGCTCCGGGTGACGACATCACGTTCATGGTCCATCAGGAGCAGGTAAGTGCAAAGAGGTTGTTTTTTTTGGTTTTTGGGGGTTTTTTTTGTCTTCTTCGTTTGATTTTAAAGTTCCCGTTTGCCGTCCCACAGGGCGACACCAGCAGCACCAAGTACCAGGTGGACCTGGGCGACGGGGTCCGAGCCATCTACCAGAACCTGACGGTGACCGACGAGCCCATCCAGCACCGCTACGAGAAGCCCGGCGTTTACCGGGTCACCGTGAGGGCAGAGAACGTGGCCGGACACGACAAGGCCACCATGTACATCCAGGTCACAGGTAAAAAACAAAACAAAAAAAACAATAAGGAAGAAATAAGAACGAAAACAGAAGGCTGTGGGTTCACTTCAGGTCTTGTGTTTATGTTAGAGAGCAATTTCCACTAAGTATAAGACTCAATTCTTAACTTTTCCACACACACAAACATCATCAGAGGAGTTTAAAGTATCAATATATTTCCCAAAGCAGCCCTACACAGAAACGATTATTTAATAGTGGATCATGGTTTATCCCCTTATAAATTCATAGGCGATCAGCCTCAAAGGACTCCAATCCAAGAGGTGATACAGACCCTACTGGGGTCTTCATTTTTATGGGACATACTGCTTATTATGCACCCGAATCACGTGGGAAAGCTGGCTTGTAACACCATCTGGACTAGAAGGGTAACCCAGACGCATCTTTCTCAAGACCCAAGCAGCCACCGAGGCATTGTAGGACCTTCTATTGAGATGTATAGAGTTATGAAGCTTTCAGCATAGGCCAAGGACGAGACAATAAACAAGACAAAAAACTATCCAAGACAGGAGAGGAAAATTACTTAAATAAAGTGAAAGAACGCAGACAGTTACTTACCTCCCTATTCAGGAGGAAACTAATACAAAAAAATGTCAGCAAACCACTATAAAATCCAAGAACTGCTGTTATATTTAAAGTCTTTAAAGGGGCTCCGTCCCCTGGTAGCCAGTCATTTGCCAACTTCGGAGAGGGGAACCAACCAGAGCCCAGCACTTGTCTACTGAAATCGGAATATTGCAGACTGAAAGCATATTAAAAAAAGCTGAAAAGCTGAGTGTTTTCCATAAACGTTTACACAAAGTGTAATCTATGGTCGCAGCTAATTAGTGGTCGACATGATAAAGTGTGTACTTCGTTTGCCAGATAATGGTTTGTATACATTAGTTTTCTAAAGTTGGAGCGTTGATATCTACATAAATAAGTCGGTTTTCTTTGATTATACGACAAAAAACCTCCGCCCTGTGCAGCCCCTCTACAGGAAGTGCATCTGGAGGTGGTCCCCATCGCGGGGAGAAACCAGGAGGTCAACCTGACCGCCGTCGTCCTTCCCGCCGAGGCCAACCTGACCGTCTTCTACTGGTGGATCGGAGACAGCTTACAGGTGAGGGACTCTCTACCAATCTCATCTCACAACAGCGTCCAAACCGATTGATTTATTGCAAGACGGAAACAAAGTTCCATTAAAACTATCAGAGTTTTCTTACTGTAAACTGCCTTCAGCAGTTGGAAATGAAAGCGGGGTGTTTGCCTCTTAACAAAATCAATGGTTTAAATGTTTTGGGGCTGTAGATCTTGGCAAAATAGGATATTCTCGACAGCTTTGGGTGAATACTCCATTCCGGAAGAGCACATTTCTAATTTTACCGTCATTTCATCCATTTTTGGAATAAAGACAAATGTGTTTTTTAACTGCTTTCGAGGAGTTCGTTTGGATTGACTTATCTGTGCTAAACTCTTAACTCTTGTGTCTTTAATTGTTTGGGTGTGCCATGTAACCAGTTTTTTTTTTCAATCCAACAGCCCATGCTGACTCTGAAGAACAGTCTTTTGACCCGTTTCTCAGAGGCCGGAGACGTTTCCGTCACCGTCCAGGCGTCCAACGGCCGCACAATGGTGCAGGACACCAGGACAGTCAGAGTCTACGGTCAGCACATACTGCAGACAGCACACATCGGTTTACAGTGTTTTTCCTCAGTCTACGAATGCTTTTGATTAGAGATTTTTGTTTTAGAAAACAAAATTCAAGAAAGCATTCAGTTTAGTTCCAGATCGTGGTCTTTCGAAGAACAAATAACACACAAATGACATTAAAATGCATTATTTTAGTCTTAAATCTTTTTATGTACCCATTGGGAGTTACTGAATTAAAAAAAAAAAATCAGTGAATTGGTATTTTCTGAAAGCAGCTCACATTCTCTCATGAAAAAAGAAGATTCAAATGCTACATCCATTAGATTTCAACTAGGATTTTAACTCGTGGGACATTCAGAAAATTAAGCCAATGTGTTTCCACACACATCCAGCTGTTGTCTAGAGGTTTGTGATAAATGCTTCTTCTTCTAAACAGAACAGATGTGTTCCAACATCTGTATTTGCTAGTGAAACCTCAGTACACAGTCCGGCATATGTCTCTTCCGCAATGTGGGGAGTCTAAATGTTGATGTCTCCTTTAGATGACTTCCAGGTCATCCCTCTGAGCTTCAGCAGAAACCTGGACAGCTACAACCCAAACATTCCAGTGTGGAGGGAGGACATTGGCCAAGTGGTCACCAAACTCCTGGCAAAGGTAAGTTCACGCTTGATTATCACATTGTCCTGCTCGGTTTATTTAAATGTCAGATATCTTCCAGCTCGGCACAATTTTGTGTCGCAATCCAGCTCATTCTGATAATGAAAATTCAAATGTAAGAAAAAAGAAATAAATTAGATGTGTGAGAGAGAATAGAGAGTCAGAAAATAGATAAAATTGTCAGACCCCTCCTAGCTGGAAAGAAGCCATTATATCACTCATACCTAAAGAAGGGAAAGATCGGTTGGACTGTGGCTCATACAGACCAATTTCGATTCTGAATGTAGATTATCGCATTTACACCTCAATTATGTCTAAAAGAATGGAACAAATACTTCCTAAATTAATCCATAATGACCAAACAGGGTTTATTTACAGACGATAGACTCAAGACAACATAAGACGAACGTTGCACATAATGAATTACACACACACACAACAAAAAGAAGCAGTAATAATTTGTTTGGACGCAGAAAAGGCATTTGACTTGGTCAGTTGGCCTTATCTATTCCAAGTTTTGGAAAAATTCAAAATCGATAACCTAATAATCCAGAATATTAGAGCCCTATATGAAAACCCTACTTCAAGACTTAAAATGAATGGCAACCTAACAAAAACTTTAATTTTAGAAAGAGGAGTGAGACAGGGTTGCGCTTGGTCGCCTTTGTTGTTTGCTCTGTACCTGGAACCATTAGCCCAATATATTAGACAATCAAAAAACATCAGTTGTGTAGTCATCAAAAAAGTAGAACATAAAATAGCCTGCTATGCAGACGATGTTTTGTTCTTCAATTCAATATATCTCGTTAGAGCAAAGCAAACGCGATAAGTGTTCATTTTCACAAATTTTTACTATTTATCAAAAATATTTGCACATCATAAATTTGATGGCACCAGCAGATTTGATAAAGGGGCCATCTGAGAACTGAACAGACGAGTTACTGGATCTCCCCTCTCGGCATGTTGTCCTGTTCTTGTCTCATACTGTGTTAGAGCTGCTCAAAAATAGCGAGTCTCTCAATCATCTTGTTTTCAGCTGATAAAAAGCCTGGAGCATCCAAGCATTTCAATTTGTCCCATTCACGGAAAGTTTTTTTTTCCTCTTTCAGGCAGTTTATTTTGAGAGAGCTGTGGCTAAGAGAAGACAGCATTTATGTCCCACTCTCAGTGTGTCGATGGGATGGTAGGCTGTGCTCAGGCAGCAGGTTCCATAGAACAATCATCTGTTTTTTCTACAAACTGCTGCTTGCGATCAAAAAGATCACAGTCGTCTATTATTATTATCCTCCTGAGACCCAAAGAAAAAAAGTGTCTTCAAATTTATTTTTTGTTGTGATTTTCCATGTATTTGGACCTAAAAAAGAACATTACAATTTCAATTTTTTTTTAGATATTTTAAATTTTAATTTCATAGCATGTCCACTGTGGAGGACAACAGGACCATTTGCATGGGAACAGGCTTTAGATAATTAAAAAATGATGTCTTGAAAGGGATATTTACCTAAGAACTCTTAGGAAAAAAGTAAAGTTCCCAGCATGCAAACCTATCACATGGCACATCACTGGAAAGCCCAGGATGTCCTCCACAGAACACTATAGGGCTTGATAGGGTAACTCCATATACTTAGGGGGGGTACAGGTGGACAAAATGTCCACTATAATGGACATAAATGAATGGGCCGGGTCTCAGGAGGTTATAATTGGCCAAGCAGTTCAATACATGGTGGAAGGTTAAATAGTCAGAGGTTTTTCAGTTTTACAGTTATTTGTTGAAGCTTTCTTTCTTTTCCAAGGAGGACCGGACATAACCAAGTCCTATTGGCTAGTTACCTCTGATCATGAACAGGCCAGGTCCTAATTCATGCAGATGGCATTGGAATGTGGTAACAAATGGTGTGTGTATATGTTGACTTAAAGGTCTGGAGCTAATGAAAAAGAGAGAAAGGAGAGTCTGTGGACACAGCCAGAGACTTAAAGACAAAAGTATAGTTCTAAAAGGAATAAGACAATCAGTCATTTTTCCATAGATCATGTTATAGCATACAACACCAAAGTGAGTAATTATAGCCAAATTCTAACAGAATGTCTGACCGTGTGACCTCAGATCACAGATATCCCTGAAGAGTCCGTGGTCACTGTGGTGAAACCAGGCCTCCCCACCTCTGCAGACCTGTACGTCCTCCCACTGGACAGCAAACCAGCCAAGAGGAGCATCTTTGTGGACAAGGTACATCCAGATATGCAAACAATCATCACCACTTTGAAGCCTTTTTTTTCTACCTTTCTCTTTTTAACTGTTGCAATTGTCACCTTCTGTCATCCTTAGCGTATTCCAGCCATCATGCAGGCTTTTAGTGACAAGAACGTCAGCTTCATGGTCAGAGGAGGTCTCAGAGTGTTGGTGATGCTGGCCGACCCAAACGCAGGTAGAGTGAGAGCTTTGGAGCCTTTCCTGCTGTGCAGTCTGTTTTTTTTGTTTGTTTTTTTAAAGTGCCATTCATCGTTTGAATGACAACGGCACGCTAATGGTTTATCTCCAATGGATAGGTCTGTTTGCTAATGACTCAACAACCCCGTCAGCTGAAAATGGTGCGTCAACCAACAGTTTTGTTGTTTTTTTTTCGCGCAGCTTTCCATAAGAAAGAACCCGACTTCCACACTCTGTTGTCAGCTTTAACTCCTGCTGCCTTTTCCTTTCCTGGAATCTCAGCAAATCAAAGTCTTCTCCTGTCCGCGCCATGCTTTTTTACCTCCCGACTCCCCTTTAACCGTTTTCTAAATGGTGTTTCTTTTCTGTGGAGGGCAGATCGCTGTCATCTTCGGCATTTCAAACAAGTTTATTTCCTATCGCGGTTATTCTGTCCTTCTTTTCCGATTAAAACACTATCTCTTATTGCTTAAGCGGGATCCTCCTCGAGTAACAAGTGGGTTTTTCTCATTGCTTCAGGAAACCGGGGAGCAGCTGGAAGTCCGGGTATTTGGGCCCTAGCGGTCCTATTCGTAATTAGCATCATTGCCACTGGTTCCTTCATCCTTTACAAGTTCAAAAGGTGAGAAAAACAATATGTTCAAACCATTTGTCTGCACTAATAAGCGCATGTCAACCAGAACTTTGACCAAAAAAATGCCAATTGTCAGTATTTTAAAAGAAAACATTTGTGCCAAAATACTAAACTATTGGATTAAATCACTCATGTCATTTTTATCACTCGTCAGATGGTTTAAGGCACACCTGACAATATAATTCAGTACAGTTAAAAGTGTGTAAAGGTTATACTGTACTAAATTAATTTGAATGGATGCATGCTAACCCCGACCGACATCACACCCCAAACCCATTACGCATGTTTTTAAAACTAGTCCTTTTCACAGCTGAGTTTAGATTTTTTTTTTCTCACCATTTATCTTTACGTCTAATAACACAAGGGAAAGTGGGAAATGGGGTGAATATTCCAATTTGAACTGTTGAACAAGTTAAAAAAAAACAAAAGGTAAAGCAAAGAAACAAAATGCTTATTGTTTCTATGATAATTCAACGCATATTTGGTTCAAATGAATCTTAACCGTAGGCCTACACAGCCCACTTTAGCTAAATGCTCCCAATTGATCTGAGATTAATGTTTTTATGTCAAGCTTTAGAGTTTAGGCACGCTTGCTTTTCTGTTTTTTTTGGAGTGCTTAAACCAGTTTTGTCACAAAATTGTTTAAAGTGTTTACTTGCAGTTTGAAAAAAAATCATTTGAGTAAATATAAAAGTGGGAAACATAAAAGTCTGTACTGCATATGAGAGTGAGACATACAGTAATGTTTACTTCAAAGTAAAATCGTCCTTTGGTTTCTTTGTGTGTGTTTGTGTACTACATTAATTACATTAATTCTGTGTAATTTTGGCTCCAAATAGACCAAAAACCTTTTTTTTTGCATTAATCAGACTGTATCCATATATCCAACTCTATTAGGTTTCTAAAGGCTTCATGGAAAAACTCATTTTACAGCTTGCACGGACTTTCCCCATTTACTATGTTTGATATCCTACTTTTTTTTATGTAATCGCATGCTTTCCGTTCACACCACTATCTCACCGGCACCCTCCCCCTCCTCCCAGACACTAATGTTCACTGAAAAGTCACCTGAAATATAAAAAAAAAACAGATCTGCAGAAACAGTTGTACAGCCCCCGTCTCACGCAAGCCAACACACCCCGCGGTCTCAGGACTGAGGAGGCCTATCCGCCGCTGTTTTTCAGGAAGCTCCCGGGCAGCCGCAACGTCTACGCCCAGATGCACAACGAGAAGGAGCAGGAGATGACCAGCCCCGTCAACCACAGCGAGGACACGCAGCACATCATCCAGGGCGAGGAGTTCATCGACGACGACCTGGACTCGCAGACCCTAGGTAACCCCGGAGGTAGCCCCGCCTTCCGCTCCCTTATAAGGACTACCACTAACCACTGCTACTAAAAAAAACCCCGAGTCACTAACACACACCAAGGTACTTCACCCTTTTTTTCGTTCTTTTTTTTTCTTGATTGAGTTGCTAAAGATGTTGAGCTGGTCGCAGAGAGCCGCGCTCTCCCCAACTCCTAGCTCTCGTTCAGAAGCCCACCGCGTTGGAGTGTTTCCAACACTTCCTGTTGAGAGGCTCACATATCCAATTGCCAGTTTAAGTAAAGACCCTGAGTTCGAAAGACTCTGGCACCAAATTTTCCCGTTACAGGCAAATCTGGCTAGTTCCTAGCCCAGCACTAATTAAAAAAAATATCCAATAATTGTTTTTTCTTTCCCTTATATGCAAAATCCCTCCGTTATCAGGGTTTTTTTTTCTGATTTTTGAATTTGTGCTGAAAATATTTAACTGAAAGTCACAGTTCCTTTCGTCGTGGGGACAAATAGCCTGTTTCATAAGCCATTAATTATAAAATCATTACATAAGTCTGTGTTATACCTTTTAGTCAAACCTGGACCAGTTCAAAACAAAACTAAAGGAAATTTCCAATCTTGAAGGCCCATAATACAAAAGAAATGTCAAAATCCCTTCAAAGGAATCCTTTGGAGGATTTAATCAATCTGTTAAACTTATAGCGACAAACTTTAACGTTCATTTCTGTTTTTTAATGTTACGACCGACTTGATTTTCATGAAATTATACCTCATTTCTAAAAAATGCAGCAGAAAGTATGAATTATTTTAACCGTGGTTTGGGATCAGGGGTGTGTATTTCCATATATCATCACAGACAAATATGTTTCAAAAGTTTAGTCGGGATATTTTTTCAAACCATTTAATCTTTTTTAATGGCAACAAATAGTGAAACATGTTGTCCAGACGACCATCAGGATGCTCTGATTTTGAGCCAATCCCATATAAATTAACAATCGTATGGAAGAAATCTCAAGTTACAACACATTAGATTTGAAACCGACGCCATAGTTTCACACAAAACATTTCCGTTATGTCAATCCAATATTTCCATCAATTGTGTGATTCTTAAGTGTAGCAGCGGGGAATCAAGTGGCTTTCTCACTCCAAGTTGAAACCAAAACAGCCAGCTCTGAGCTGACTGTTGAACAAAAGAAAACCTCCAGATCTTTGCAGTGGGCTCCTGATCTTTCAGCGGTGATGAGTTGGGAATGAGACCGTCGGCGCCATCGCCCGAATTAAGCAGGCGGAAGCATGTTTGACCATGTTGTGCCTCAGACTGGACTGGATCATTGTTGTAACTCGGTTTAAAATCTGAATCGCTATCTAGTAGCTGCATATTTATAATAAAATTGGAATTTAAATGAGACGAGGATCCATGACCGGCACAAGCGTTATGCTAATGAGGGCGATGGCACGCTGTGGTCAGCGATGTGGTGGACAGGTAGAAGAGGCCTCTTAATTAAGAGTGAATCCACGTTGATTACTATCCCACATTATCAAGAAAACGATGACACGACAAAAAAGAAAGCAAAACAACAACAAAAAAGTTGTTTTCCATACGGGAATGGTGGAACTCTTTTACCTGTCACCTCATTGTTGAGTGTAACCGACGTTTTTAAGATATTGTGAAAGAGTTGCTTTATTTTTGCATGAATATTAATTTGATTAGAAGGTGGATATTCCAATATTTTAGCGATTTCTGCCTTTTTAGAGAATATTTTGAAATGCAGATCATTTTTCGTATAACTTTTTTTCTTGTAATATCAAACAAAAGGTTTGGTTAATCGTGAAAATTTGCATCAGTTACAAAGTGTAAGGGTTAAAGAAAATGCAAAAGAATTCAGACGTGTGCTGTTTTGTGCCTCGACAGCTTAATGTTCATCCGCCTTCCTTCTGATTTCCGTCTGTGCTTCTGTCTCATTCCCGCTTTTTCTCAAGGCAACCACTCGGGCGTGGTCCTGAGCATCAACTCCAGAGAACTCCACAGTTACCTGACCAGCTGATGGCTGCCATGGCAACGCTGATGAGCTCGCCCAGCCTAGCCGAGCCAGCTAACGAGCACAGGGACTCTGCCTTCCTACCTTTTTTTTGTTTTCCTCCCCTTTTTTCCAGGTTTTTCTCCTCCTTGGACACTTCAGCTCCACTCTTCAGCACACTCTGTGCGACCTTATTTTCTTCTTCTTTTTTTTCCTATCACAGCGAGCCTCTTTGTTCTCTATTCCCATCGCGCACCGACCAGCTCTGGGGTACTTATTCATGACCAGGGGCTTGATGGCTCACCTGTGGTTTAAAAAACAAAAAAAGCAAAGAAAAAAATCTGTGTTTAAAATTGTTTGCCACTAAACATCAGGTATGGGCTCCGTATATATATATATGTGTCTTTCGATATTCAGTCAGAAACTGTCGAACAGTCTAGCCAATAAGGTTAGCCGTGCCCAAAGAAAAGCTGTTTTTGACCACTAAATGTAGGCTTGCACTGAGGTAGCGACGTGAAACGAAAAGACAAGTGAGACTTCAATGCCTCACCTCCTGGTTTCCCCCTCATTTTGTTTTTCTCCTTGAAAATACCACTCATCTCTCTCTAAAGGCAATAATGATCTCAACGGAATGTACAATGGGATAAACCCTTGTGAGTTTGCATTTTAAAAAAACAAAAACACACAAAAAAAAAAAGAGTATGCATGCAAACACAAGAGGGCGGTGTTGCACTTTCTGAAAAAACCTCCACTCACAGGTTGTTTAGACGTCTCACCTTCTGAGGACCACTGTACGTACACACACATTAATTCATTATTGTCCTCGTCTGGAACCGACTCTCCTCAGAAAAATTGGCGTTTAACATTTTCGAATCCTCTCAGCTCAGTGACATTAACTCGTCGTCCTGTCCAGGTACTTTAATTAAAAAAAAAAAAAACACACATAAATGCATCAACGACATTTTCTCCCCCTCAAACTGTCCGGGTCAGAGCCCAAACCCGGTCCTCTGGAGACAAAAAGCTGTCGTGGTGGAGAGACCCCTATCAGCCTATATTAGGCGAAAGCCCTCGGTGGAGTCGGGTCTCCTTTAAAGGTTTTTGGGTTTTAGTTTTTCGATGTAAATGTGTAAATACAAAGCCTCGAGCTCCACTTTGTACATATCCCTGTCCACACGTGTGTGAGTGTTTTACACAACTACCAAAATACATGGTTATGTTTTTGTTTTTGTTTTGTTTTTTTTCTCTTTCTGGGGTGATTTGCCAATGACTTTTAATAGATATGAAAAAAAAGAAAAAAAAAGTTTTACTGTTTCCAGTTTGATCGCTTGCTTCACATGTATCTTTTTTTGTTTGTTTGTTTGTTTGTTTTATTCAATATATTTTCACGTCACATGAGTAGGAATATTTCACAGTCTTCAGTGTTAACTAGAAATAATTTTACTGTCTTACAAAGACACTCACTACTGTATACAGCTATTACAATATATATATAAATATATATATATATATGGATATTTTTGATACACATGTCAGGTTTTTTCCAGTATGTGTAAACACTGGTTAGTCTTTCTGTTGCCTTTTGCTGAAAGTCATCCTTTTTTTTGTTTTGTTTTGTTTTTGATTGCACTAACGAGGAAAAAGGAGTTGCCAGGCCAACCACTGGACAATTGCTACGAACTCTTAGCCCCGAAAAGCTCTTTGGACTAAAGGATTGTGAGTTCCCGTTGTCACCAACACCGCTCTGGTTTCGTCTTGTATTTGATTCGGCGGGTTCCATTCACGTTAATTCAACTTTTGTACATATTCTGCTCATGCTCAACTTGTTCTTAGTTTTTGTAGTGATATGTCGTCATTGTACCAATGTCCCCCCTTAAACACGTGGGGGTGGTGGAGGGGTGTGTGTGTGTGGGGGGGGTTAGAATATTCTTATGTAATAGTCAGAGTTTTACAGATGATGACACTGACCATGTAATTTTGCACCACGCTGCTTTCCCCTTGTTTCTTCTCTTTCTGCTGCCTTGTTTGGAATTTCTTGATTTCCCTGTTAAGAAAAAAAACAACAACTGTGTGTCTTCTTCAGGAAGCATAGTGCACTGAATCTGCACCCTGAAATAAATCACTCCCATAACTTGTACGTCTGTTTGTGATCCAAGTCGTTGGACCCGGAGCTTTGGTTTGGTCATATTTCAACTTCCACACAACGTTGAATAGAAATTAGAGGACATTTATGCCCCTTATTTACGGAGTTGCATCATCTGTTGTTGCCAAACCTGGCAATTTCACCCTCAGTACTCTTATTTCTCTGTCCACCGTTGGTGATGGTCAGTTGAGGAAGTTATTTAAACTTATTCCCACCTTTGAAAAATCTTAATTAGCTGTACCCACAAGCTAACCGCTTTCCTATCGCCATGGTTGTGAATCCTAGCAGCGTAGCGTCCATCCATCCTTTTATCTCATGCTTTTTGTCTTTTTATTCCAAGGCGGGGTCCCAGAGGAGCTAGAGCCAATCCCACCCCGGACAGGACGCCATTCCATCACAGGGCCACACGGAGACTAAACTGATAAATATGCGTGATCACACTCAATTTGGAATCCCTAATTAATCTTACATGCTGGTTGGAAACCTGAGAACCTAGATAGAATTCACACATACAGTAAAGCATAGCATCTAACCCGGCAAAAATAAATCATAATCCTGGCATTGCTTCCTCTTGAAACTATATTTGAGACTGATGGATTTTTGAAAGATCAATGACGCTTTTCTAAGATGGCTGTAGGTCAGATACTTGGACCAGTTCCAAAAAAGAAAAGGGACATTTTAAATCTTGGAAGCCCATTTGGTAAATAATACAAAAATATATATTTTGTAGAAGAACAAAATTTGGGGACAAATAACACATGAGACAATAGAATTGAAAAAAGCTAACATATAAAACCAAATACGTTATAAAATATCGCAAATTGACCAGTAAAAGTTAGTAAATTCACAATAATTATAACATTTAATTAAGCTATCTTGACCTTTTGAGACTGTTCTACTACTACTATCTACTATCATACGCA